GAAATTAGATATTTAACTTGAATAGGAGGCGCCACGCTCCGTCGAGACTAGTTAAATCCCAAGTGTCGATTACTTTCCGCTCTCCCGCAGTAGTCGGCACGACAGTTAGCAAGGTTGTGTTTAGAGCTAAGCTGAGAAATCGCCTGGTCACTAATTAAAATAACACTCTCAAGCAAACACACATCACATTAATATAACAATATTAATTCTTATTTTTCGCGAATGATTTTAGGCTACAACTTAAGGATTTGGTGAGATCTAATAAATCTGCGTCACCAATTTCAAATTGCATCTTTTAATATTTTTTCTTTGTCTAAAAACTTTACAATATTTCTATTTTTCACAAAAATGTAACTGAAAGCACGTGCTTCTAACCTGTAAAATTAAAAATTTTAATAATGATTATTATAGTGAGCGATGTTAACGATTTAGAAATAATAATAAACAGGATATACCATCTACAATGTTCCTTTGTAAACAGGAGATCACATGTCACTTTTTTTTTTGGATATAATTTCATAGGAGAAGGTCAATGCCGCTTTAATTGCATCTGAAAAATAATTTTCTATTAGACGACGTCAAAAAATTTTAATGACGATTTGCAAATATACTTGAATATAATGTCATTATCGTTTCTGTTTATTTATCCAATAATAAACTACAGTGTATAATCCAGTCAGCATGTAATAATAATAATAATAACATAAAATACAACATATTTATTCTTGTTAATCTTACAATTAACAGCTGAATTTAGCAGGTGGCGGTACGATCACCAACAGCATTGAAGTTGATGTGTCACAAATTTTAATACTGTATCAAGAGTGTTTGTCGATATACGTAAGTATTGAAACGACAGACATGAAATTCAAAGCACAGATCAGTTTACATTAGCTACAAATTGCGTAAAGAATTCAGTTTAAGAAAATGACGTAGAATTGTATTCGAAGGTGTTAATGACTTTAGCACTTATCATATACTTACAACATCGCAGAAATAATGGTATTTATTTCTAATAGATCAGACGTTATTGGATCTGAAATCTATGGTATTATTTGACATTATGGCTTATAAGCGTATACCACCACAACTCAAAGTTGACAAAATCTGTTAATAAACTAAAGTGTCGATGCATTCTCCAAACTAATGAAATTGTTTTAATGGTAATTGTTCCACATTCCTTTATTTGTCGGAAATGCCACTTAAGACTCTCATATTGTCGTCCTTCTATAAACTACAAAAATTCTACGTTTACTACATGAAGAAAATTATCATGCGCTTTTGTTTTTATTAAAGTTCTGAGCCAGCGTTAATGTTTATTCCGGCAGTACAGACTCATTGCAATTTCTGTACTGTACAACGTGAAATATACAAAAATATGCACTGCACTATATGATTATAAAATTAGTATCGGGATGAAAACTAATGGAATATATTAATATTAATATTATCGAACATAGGGACACTAAAATAGAATGGTGCAATTAGATTTCCACCAGAATCGTAATCGCGAAGCATAAATACATTGTCAAGACGACTATTGCCCTAAACTCGTGCAATTTCAATCCTAACTACGAGACTGGCGTACTGCTATCACCGTAGTCAAATAACATTAGTCAGACCAGCATCTATGGGGCATAGATTTATTCAGTCCGACGCCTCTTTACCACACTATACCGTACTTTCATTCTGGCAAACTCTGCATTCTTGCGCTTGCGGCCTTTCTTCTTCATCTCGTTCTTCTGTACTTTACGCTTGGCGGCTGCCTCTGGATTTACGATTGCCTAATAGACAAACTCAATTAGATTTGACTCATTTGGTTGCAAAAAGCATTTGTTATTTTGGACAGGTCTTGCTACGCACCTGAATTACGCGCTTTTTCTTTCTCTCACGTCGTATTTCTGCGACTTGTTGTCGGATCTTATTATAGACATTATGATACTCGGTAACTCCAACGCGTTTTTGAACAAGATCAAGTACCTCATAACCGAGGCGTTTGATCTCATCTGTAATAAATTTAGCTTCAGTTGACTGTTGGATAGATATTATAAATCTTACAAAATACACATACCTGTTTCCTTGCCTTTGTTCGTCTCATCATTGACAAATCGATATATTGGTGATATAATCGCTTCGAGATAAGGTAGTAAATCAGATACAGGAAGGAAGTTCGCCATGGCAGCAAACCATTTGAATATGCATGTTCGCTGATGAAAGAAAAGTATTTATAACCTATGACACAAACCGAAGCCATTAAATGTTACAAAAAAAAAGGACTTACGTGTAATGCATGCACTGGGCTTGTCACCTTAATTGATCTTAATTGATGAGAAAGCCGTACAAATAACCATGATAAAGGCTCAGTACTTTTGGATCGCCCCAAATGGTTGTTCTGATCAAGCGAATTAAAGTCTTCTGTGGGTCTCAAAGAACCATTCTGATCAGACTCATTAAGGTCTTCCTCAGGCTTAATGTAAAAGAAACATTTTCCCACAAAGAATAAATTCTTTATGATTTGCGTTCCAAGTTCTTCGTTCAGATATACGCTCTTGAGCTGGACAGCCGTACGCATAGCAATCTTCTTCAAAGTATCGCGCGTCAGAAAATTATTTTGCATTCCGCCTATTATTATGGTCTCAGGATTCAAGCCCGAGAAATAAACTCCAAGTAATCGAGCAGCTGATAGTCTAATCCAGGCGTGTGGGTAGAGCAGATGCTCTTCGATGAGTATCCATAAGCCTACAGAATACTGTGCATAAGCTGTCTCCGGGAACACTTTCAAGACCTTCGAGTAAGTTTTAAGAGCGTAATAGCCAATCTCCCAATCCACATCCAATGCCATGCTATCATCATCCGCCTCCATTTTATCAGTATCTTTCATGGTTTCCAAACTGGTTTTCATTAAAGATTCAAGTTGAGCGACAAGATCCGTAACCCGTGGTTTAAACTTTTCTCCATATGCTTCCACAATTAAGCCATAGACTTGAGCAGCCGTCCGCTGTAGGTTCTTTTTCTCTGTGGTGACAAACCATTTGTCGAGCAAACTATAGATAATTTTAATTCTTTCACCATCCATGCGCAGCAGAAGACTTTTTATAAGCGCACCGGACATCTCTCTACATTTACTTGATTCATCATTTACAAGGGACATGACAAGAGCCAAGAAATACATTTCTGTATATTCCATAAGTATGTTCTGAGGGAACTTGATAAAGATCAAATTCAACATTTCCATAACAGACTGTCGTCCACTCTCATAAATGTAGTTTAAATTCTTCGCCAAAAAGGTCATAAAAGTCTTCAATCGACCACGCCCCTGAGGATAGTCAAGCAAGAATTGAAAGACAACTTGTCGACACAAGTCTCGAACAAATGCACTTTGATTGGTAATCATAATCTCCGAAACTTCTTGCATCAAATCGTAGATTTCAGGGGCCACAAACTTTCGCGAAATGATCGCTTTAATTAACGAAAATGTTACTCCTTGCTTTTCTGGTTCTTCGAGATCTGGTCTAATAGTATCAATGAGATAGGCTAGTTGGTGTTCTTTTATTTCAACATCCTTACAATGGCGTATAAGAACAGTAAGCAATTTGAAGCACGCCTGGCACAGTTCGCTTCCAGTCGATCCTGTACTTTTAACCAACGAAACGGTCTGTTTCACGATCACCGGGAATGCGTTATTCAGCGCAGACAAACGCAACTTGCATAAAACACTCAACACTCTGACAGCTAAAATATTAACTGATGAATGTTTCGAAAACATGGCGTTTCCAACAATATCCACAAATGAATTGAGTAGAGCCAGTTGTTCCTCCGAATGCGTATCAAATTTCTCGTGTTTTAATGCTGCCAATAACAGAGACAAGCCAAATTTCACAAATCGGTGTGCATTGACTGAATAAAAGTCATCCTGTGAATGAATAGCATTATCACGTTTTAGTTGAACAGCGTAATTCTCTTCCATAAGCGTTTTGGCAAGTTTCGGTTTCGGTTTGTCTTGAATTAACTCGAGATTTTGTGAAATAAGGCTGCGGCAAAAAATCGCCGACTCGTTGACTTCAAATTTTGGGTTAGCGTTAAGCCCTGTAGACATCTTTCGCAATACCTCATCCACTTTATTCAAAACTTTCAGGCTTATGGTTTCGCACATTATTTCTTTCAGAGGAACTAACAAGATGCCAACGTTTCGGAAATCAATTACTCTTGTAATGAGCTCAAAAGAATCAAAACTCTTTTTCGTTTTCATTTCTTTTATTTTGGCCGGAATTTCTTCGGTATCTTTTTCCTCCCCGACATTGCCAAAGATATCGTTAATCATAACCTCGCTGACCGATTGCAGACAATAGTCCAATTCGCCGACACTTATCGTTGGAACAATAGTTGCAAGAAGCGAATGAAGAGTGTAGCCGAGAACATGAAGCTGATATCCACGCGTTAAAGCGGCTTGGAGTTCCTTGAGAATATAATCGAAAAATTTAGGGCCAAGAAAATTATTGATTTTGCTGAGCGTATCCCTGGTGATATCACGAGTATCCTGAGCACGACTTTTGAGAATGTGGCAGACTTTAGTTAGAAGACTAGGGAGTTGTACTTGGAGAGAATGTTCCGGTAGCGCCTTTAAAAGTTTGGCAATTGCAAAGGCAATCGGTACTCGGATTGTGATAGTCTCTTCAGTTCCTTGGGCAAGGTATTCGTTAAGGTCAGGTACAAGTCTTTTGATTATCTTATCATGTATCTTCGTTGCAATCATCCGTTCTGTTTCATCGGGTAGAACCCACTGTTGTCCCTGATTTTTCTTTTCCTTTCCTTCTTTCTCCTCACCCTTTTCCTCATTCTCCTCATATTTGTTGTCATCACTAGCATAACCACCGCCTTCTTCTTCTTCTTCTTCTTCTTCCTCTTCCTCTTTTTCTTCCTCTTCTTCTTCCTTTTCCTCTTCATCCTCACCTTTGTCATTTTCATCTTTGTCACAATTGTCATCATCTTCTTCTTCCTCATCTTCATCTTCTTTATCTTTCTCATGGTCAAGTTGGTCTTGCTTCCTTATTTTCTCTCCTCCATAGCCTAATTCATCCTTATCTGCTAAAGACTTGTCGTGTTTGTCCATCACTTTTGTAGACATCTCACTGGCTCCCGAAAAACTGTTCTCAGAAGTAATATTTGCCTTGGAAACATCAAAATGAAATCCATCAAGAATAGCAATAATTACTTTTACTAGCAATTTTTCCAGACGCTTCTCTTTTGATACAAGTTTTAAATAGTAAAGTACCAGGTTATAATATTTACCCCACGGCAAATGTCTGGCAATAGTTTCAATAGCTCCGATGACCTCATACATTATAACTGGATCAGATTGCTCTTTAGCCGTAAGGATAAAATGTTTGATTAATGGTAAAAATATTTGAGTAAGGGATGCGGTTGAGAATGTTCCGGTATTACATTCATTTGAAAATCTTTTCAAAGCTCTTGCTCGACGATGGATCTGAAGGTGATAAATATTATTGAAGAAGTTTGCCTCTTCGTCATTATTTGCAAGAAGCGGAACTAGATCCGTAAACTGTGGCATTGATGCAAGATTACGGACACATTGATCCAATATTGATATGTATTCTTGGCGAACCAATTCGATTGGCAATCGTACACCTAATTTGATGCCGGGATAAATCACTTGCTTGACAAGTAACTCCATTTCTCTTCGAATATCTGATGTATCTGCAGCACAGCAGCGTATGAATTGAGTTATACAAAACGAAGAATTATTTCGTATTGAAAGTTCTTCAGGGTCTTGGATGTAGAAAAGACAATTATGAAGAATCGGCAACCATTCTTCGGGCGTCAAGTCCTTATAAAGTTCGGTGTTTATCTTGTTGAACACACCCAGACGGACTTCATAATCCGGTTCGTCTAATCGAATGATGGAGAAGGCGTTCATGTCTGTAATTAACTTTGCTACAGTGCAGAGACGTGGCTTAAGTTCAGCAAAAATACCAAAGATGTCCCGCAAGGCCGTCCTGCATTCTCTTGATCGAAGGGTAGTGAACAGTGTAGATATAAGTTTATAATATTTTCTAAACAAGTCCGTCTCCACGGAAAATCCAGGAATTATGCGAATAAAACTCTGAAAAATTCGCAATATGTCCAGCTTAACAAACTCTGGTATGAGTTGTGCCGGCTTATGCAAACTAGGAATTAAAAGTTTTACTACTTTCGCTGCCTGATCACCCTTGTCAACATATCCTGCTATTTGTGCCAAGACTGAAATCTCGCGTCGAGAGAATGCATTCTTTCCAAACGACTTGTTTGAACTTGACCGGAGTAATACTTGCTCTAGATTATCCAGTAATGGTGATACGTTTGGGATTAGGACTTTGTTTACAAGCGATAAAGATACATGTTGATCATCAATCTCTTTGCATATGTTTAGAATGTTCTCGATAATATCCAAAACCGCAGAGAACACCGAGTCGCGTACTTTCTTTGCGGATAAGCAAGAAAAAATCGCAGGTAAGACTCTTGGGTCGAAATCAACGAGGAACGGCAAATATTCTTTATGTGAAGCCCAAACATAAATCAATTTCATCAGAGGTGATGGTGCTTGCGTCGATTCGATTCCGAGTTTAAGTATTCGAGGAGAGATTAATTCACTATATATTGCAGCAATGTACGGGTTATAATTGAAAGAGGCGCGGATCTTGAAAAAGTCTGCTATGCGTTTTATGGCTAGTTGCCGCAATGTTTTGTATTGTTGTCGAATATTTCGCAAGTTATCAGTTTCTTCATTGACCGTGTCGGTAATTGTTCTGACAGAGTCTGTGTCGTCATTTGCATCAAGATTATTGGCATCAAGTCTTTCTAAAAGTTTATGGGAGTCTCTGGCAATATACAGCACTACCTTAAAGATATCATGTACAAAGGGTACAAGATACATGCCAAGCAATCTCAACAGGTCCTCTAAAAATTTCAAGAATCCGGCTTGCTTTCGGTAAGGAATGGCACTGATGAACTCGACATCTGCAAAAGAAAATTCTGAACCGACAATTCCGGATTGTTTTTGAATCTCTTCAAATGGCTCTAATAGCAAATCGACTAACAATTTCAATTCAGACTCTGAACAGTTAGACAAGGCCGCTAACGCAGCCGCTCTCTTTGCCCTCAATCCACCTTTTGCGGCCTTGCTACTTCGTGCAATAGCTCTCCCATAAAGAATGCGAATTATTATTGGCATTATTTCAGGACGATGCGTAAACTCAATTGAAGAGGAATCTTTTGCAAGTGAGAATGTCGAAAGCTCGTCGCGAAACTTGTTGTCATCCACAAGATTTTTGAGATTTTCTTTATACAATGTAATCTTTGTTTTCCACGTGAAAAGGCAGTCGAGAGCGAGAGATTGTAGTGTGGTGTCACCCTTGGCCAATAGCCGTAAGTACAGCTCACGAAGTTGAGCAGATTTGTATAGGGATTGCGGACTCTTGAATTTCGCAAAAAGTCGGAGAAATTGAAACATTGCATTTCGCGAGACATGCGCTGATTGTTCAAGTACCACAACATCAATATCGGAATCAATATCCATTAACGAAACCTGGGATTCTTTATGTAAAGGATTAGCGGCCTCCCGAATGCCATCCTCGTAGAGCTCGTTTTCTCTTGTGCGCAATCCCAAATCGTCTTCTACAACCTTCTCATACTTTGACTCGGCAAAGCGGAAAAATAGAGGAATCAACTGTCTTGACCGCTGCTCTGCTATTTCAGGAACTTCAGTGAGCGTTCTTATTATGAGTCCATGATAATTCCAATAATCATGTCTTTCGTTTCTTGGAGAACATAGCGAGACAAGATGCAAAGCAGCGTACTTGTTAAACTCGTTGCCTATGAATCGACGTGATAACGCCGATGCTTCGGTGTATTGTTTTAAAGTCGGACAGTGAAACATAGATGGCTTTGTCCAGTGTGAAGATGTCCCTGCAGAATTAAAGAATGTTGACAAAACTTTGTTTGAAAATTTATTTTCTGCAAAATTCGATTCGTCATTAAATTTAGATAGTTCATTATAAAGAAGAGTCCAGAAAGCAAGTTTGTCTACTTCAGCCGCTATGGACAAGACTTTAATAGTCTCATTCCACAAAGGAGCAAAGTTGACAGTCAATTGTCCAAGACATAGTCGTAGCACTGTATCAATATAGAAATCTGGTAAGCGCCTAGACGCTAACAATGTTCCTAATGTTCTGAGTTTCATTGTCTTCTCCCGTATTTGGGAAACACTTGCTTCCGTTTCCTCGACAGAAATTGCAATTGCGAATATGTCACATGGCTCATAATTATTACGCGATAATCCCGGAGTTGGCTTGAGATGAAATTGGTCATAGAGACCAAGAATCTTGAGAGTGTAAAGACGGCGATTATAACCGAATGAATTAATATTCTGTGATAAACGGTGGTAAATCTCTTGAAGGTGGTCTGTTGTAAACTTATCGGCACGTCTTCCACTGTAAAGAAAAGAATACATCACGTTAGCCATTATTAGAGGCAAATCGAACAAAATTTATCAATACATGCATATTACCCTGATCGCAATAGATTCAGATAAGCAGCTGTCCCTCGCAATATCACTTCATTATTACCATACTTGAAAAGAATTTCGTCGATAATAACGTCAGCCAGATTATCCACAGCCTCGTTCGAGGAGTTACCGTGTTTTTTGCATGCCACTGCAAAAGCTTCAATGCTCAGGCCCAATATATATTCCAACAGTACATAAAAAGATCCTCTCGTGAATGGTTGCTTGAGGAATGGTGATACTAGAGACGATTTACTTTCATTCAAGCAATCGAGTAGTGATCGTATTATAGATGTCAAACAGCTTGCTGCTGCTGAAAAAGGTATATCCACGTGAGGAAGCAAGTTGATAGCTGCAGCAACTAAACTCAGCTGAGGCAAATCGTTTATATCGTTATCGATCTCCACGAGACTAAGTCTCTGTACTTCACTAACCCAATTTTGACTACTGCTTAGAATTTTGAGTAAACCATCTGCCAAACTTTCTGATTCTTTTAAATCGGGATAACTGGGAAATTGTATCAGCCCTGCTTTTGTAATTAACGGAGATATAGTTCCGGTAGGTATAATTATGGCTTTCATATGCAACAAGTGTGAGAAAAATATTGCGATTTTTGGGTTACTTGTCCAATGTGTCGCGGAATATTTTATCACGTGAGGAAAAATGAATTGAGTATAATTATCCCATCCAACATTTGCCAAGTTCAACGAAAAGCTGAGGACTGCGTCTACTTCCTGATATTGATAATATTGTAAGAATTACAGATCATGATGGCTGTTAACTCGTCATTCCTACCTACTTTAATCTGGAAAATTTTGTCCAGCAGCTCCCTTCCACCGTTTAATACAAGTTTTAGATCAACTAGCGTTAACAGTGCTACACTGCTGCTCAACACTTGATCGACCAAGAACCGGTGATATGGGGATGAATCAAAAGCCGTTGTTGCTACATCAATGATTATTGAAAGTAGTCGCTTGAAATCTACATGGGACAATAGTGCGTGAGTTTAGTGGGATATATTTCATACTTGAACATAGATATTATTGGCAAACGACTCGTAATGTAAACCTTTTACGCGTGACCCTTTTCTAACTGTTGTGCATATGTGAAGCAGTGAAACGTTTATTCCCAATTTCGTAAATATGATATCGCGTTGTTCTTTGTTGTCAATTATCTCATTCACCGTTTTTAATTCTCTTTCAATCTCTTCGACATACAAGTCAAGTATTACTCCAAAATTTTCGCATTTGCAATGATGAACCAACGCGATTGTCATTTTTTTCATTACAGTATATGTCAAATTCGCCTCTATAAATAAAAGTCAATCGTTGTAAATAATAATACGTGACTGTATTCCGCATAAATAATCTGACTACTTGCCTATTTCGTTTATACCGAGTGACAGCTCGTCGTATAGAGACTCCAAAAGTTCTCTGATTATTATTGTCCCTCGGTCATGAATTGAATTCTCGTCATCCTTAATACAGTAATCAACACATTAGTTGCATGCCGCTTGGTCCGCATCAACCATCTTGCAAACGCGTGTTATTACTCACTTTAACGGCTTCAATAAAGAATATGCTCAATCCCTCAACATTCTCTTTGGAAGACGGACTATTTCGAAGCGGCTGCAATGCATACCTAACGACTTCTGTTAGTTTCTCACCCTTTGCTTTACGTAACAAGTATGCAAACGCTTCAGCAGCAAACTGCCGAATATATGGGCGTTGCAAAGTTGATTCGCCCAACAGAGGAGCAAACAAGCTGAAAAGCATCGATAATAAGTTCAAGGCACAGATAAAATGAATGCATTTCAATATCAACTTGACAAAGCGTCAACTCACCGATACGTAAAGCATAGATCGTTCTCAAGTTGCTTTGATAAATACTTAAACAAGTACGTAATACAATTAAACGTCCACTAGAAAAGGCTCGTCGTTAGTACCCATCTTCTACAGCAGCAACTTTCTGATTCTCAATAAATCACCTCTAATATTTCAACGTCTCTGTATTTAGTCAGTTCAATAACACATTCTATAATTTCCCCGAAATATGGATAAAAATCTTCTTCAAGATCATGTGCAAGCTTAGTCGTTAAATCCAATAGTGGCTCATACGCTAGACTCTCGCGTACTCGCAAATGTTTCTTTAATATCTTGATTATCTCATCTTTGTGATATAATATTTGTGGAAGTGTTCGTGATATCGACCGTATCTCTCGCATAAAAGCTGTAAAATGTAAGGTAAGGTTGAGCTCCCTCCATGATTCAAGTGATGAACGAAAATATGAAACCTACAATATAAAAAAAAAATTAATAATTTCTTCTCTTGTTAAACACAGGGATTTTTATAATTATCTTACTTCAGGTTCGTCGTCATTAATATTTCTTTCTCTTTTGACCGCATCGATTTTCACATTTTTAACTCTTTCTTTGAATGTTTGATACTATAGCACAGAAAAATGTTAGTCAAACCAATGCGATATATATAATCGTACGATCAATACATATAGCTACTTTGAATCTGTTCTTTCCGGTCCCTGAAGTGTTTAGTTCCTTCACGGTAGTTGTGTTTTTCATTTTTCTATAGGACGCGTTAAGTTAAAAAAAAAACGTACAAATTGTATGCTTAAAAGGTTTGACCATAAAATTTTTTAAATACATTCACATATCACGTGATATACTCGAGATCGTCCACCACCAGGTCACAACCAGCCACCTAAACGTACTATATCCTATAGTAGTAGTTGATGAGATAGTATGGATACGATCATGGACGAATCGTACGACGTTTTTGACGACGACATGTCCGATCTGAGTTCTTCCGGCCTGGAAGATAGCGAGCAGTCCGATTACGAAGAGAATAATGCCACAAGACATGCGCAACTTTCATTTAAAAAAGACGATAGAGTTCTTTGTTATCATGGACCCATGCTATACGATGCAACAGTATGCAGCAGCAAATGTTCTGTTTTGCGATTGATAACGATCAAGATCATTGATGAAATTGCCTTTTGATTTTATTACAGATAACTGATATTCGTGCGATATCCGATGATTCTGATGGAGATGGGCCGCAATACAAGGTCCATTATACAGGGTGGAATTCCAAGTAAGAGATTATGCATCTTTTTATCACAGCAAAATCACCTTTAGCTAATACGGTTCAATGATTAGATGGGACGAATGGGTTAGCGAAGGAAGGCTTCTCAGATTAAACAAAGATAACAAGGCCGTGCAACAGAAGCTAAAGATTGAACTGATGGCAAAGGAAAACATTAATGCTGAATTGCTAGATGAGTCCTCGTCCGAAATCTACGAGTCAGAGTATGAAGACGATGAGGGCGAGGGTGAGAACTATATACAAAGACAAGGTTGTGTTTAGCTTTAAAGACGATGCAACTAGCTGACAAATTCGCTAAAATTCGTATTAATAGATTACTACGATGATGATGTAAGATTTTTGGTTTGCTTCTCTCGACATATCTACCTTTAATCGACCGACGCCAATATCTCTAGTTATCTCTTAGTATCCCGACGAAGAGTGGAGGTTACTATTAGAAACCTCGAGTCATACAAAGACAAAACTCCTTGATGATTGGGAATATATTACCCTTCGGTTTCAGGTATACCACGCTGTCATTTACATATTACCGTTAGCTTGTCGCTTACCGTTCACTATTTACAACATAGTTGATAAAAATGCCAAGATTGCCGACGGTAGACAATATCCTGGCCGATTATCTCGAGTACAGACTGGACATGGAAGAAGAGGAAATTAAGAACGGTCGTAAGGGTAGTAAATCGAGTTCGGGAGAATTTGAAGACGAAGGTGAAGACGATGACGAAGAGGGCGAGGACAATGACGACGAGCGCGATATCAATGACAGCGATGACAAGGAATTAGAAAATGGAAATCAGATACGCAAGAGAACAAAAAAGACAAAGTTAGACGGATCGATATTAGACCGCAATGTAAATATAGAAATGACCGATGCATCGATAATAGATGAATCTGCAAACTCGGCAGTAAAGCATGAAGTTCCTGATCAGAACGTAATGATGTCTGTTGACTCTGACTTGAACAACGACAAGGACGATACGACGGCAGTTAAAACGATCACAATCGAAGAATTATGGGAACAGCGAATATCCGAATTACGGAGTCTTTTCAACGTAGCTTTGGGCAGACAGCTACTATATCGATTTGAGAGATATCAGTTTGCTATGCTTTGTGAAAATCATCCTGACAGTGAATTCTCTTCGCTGTACGGCGCCGAGCATTTATTGAGATTATTAGGTATGCGCAATATTGTATCGTTGATGTGTGTCTGTCTGTTTGCTAATATTAATGCCGATTTTTAGTAATGTTTCCATCATTAATCGAGCGATCGGGAATGAGTGAAGAACAGGACGACTTGACGAGAGATTTTATATCGGATCTTGTGACGTAAGTAAAGAGCGTTTGTTATTGTACGAGGGACGACCCATATTCAACTGACTATATGTTTAGATTCATCGAAAACAATAACGACAAGTATCTATCCACTCAGTATGAGAACGCAACTCCAGAGTATATTCGATTCACTTGGGAATACTAGTCATCGTGCTGACACTAATATCTAGCTAAAAAATCCTATGCGAAACTAACTACCATGAGCAGCAAGTAAATAAATTTAGAATTTTTTTATCTTCGTCATTTTCTAGCCACTATAATTTCCTTTCACCCAACATACTTTCTTTCGAACGTACTGTTATAGTACCTAAAAATATAATGATTACAAAAGAAGAAAGAGAAGTAAAAAAAAAATAAAATAAAAGAAACAAGATAAAGTAAAGATAAACACAAAAGACGACATCGATCTACCGATATTCGGTTTCAAATAATAATATAATAATTATATATAATTCAACCAATACTTTTTTTTTTCTTCTTTTTTTTTGTGTGTGTGTATTTTCGTCCCAAAGGTAAAGAAAAATGTCTTTTACAAGATAACCGTCTTTAATGTTTAGGATAAGCTATCTTATTTTGCTACATACTTTAACAAAAGGCTATCCACTAAAGGAAAAAAAAATTCTACAATGAGATTAAACAATCTCAGTTACTATTACATACAAGAGTGTGTTGAAGACACAACACAGAAAAGACTATCTTCATTTTCTCCCCTTCCCCATACAAATACTACTAAGTCTCTTCAAAACATCGCTGATTTTCTCCTATCACTCGCCGACTTGCTACGACGTTCAGCCGCTGCTGCCAAGAGCTTGCTAGCAGCCTTGCGTCGAATGCGAGTGGCAAAGTTCTTCGCCATGTCTGGCCCTTTTGGCTGACGGATCGGGACAACGGTATCCGGATGAACTTTCATTGGTCCACCAAAGACGCTGCGTATAGAAAAGAGCATTTTAATATTAATTTTGAAAACGTTTATCGGCGTGCAAGAGTGAAAATGTTGAATGAATCGTAAATTCACACCCAAACACACAGTACTATTTATTGCAAGACCAAAACGCTCGATAAACACTTTTTTTAAATCCACCAATGTACCAGCAACTCTTTGCAAGTAATTACCTTCTACGTCTCTGATCCTTTGAAGGAGCCGGGATGGTAGTGGACCTTGGAGTGTGCGATGTTCTAGTAGGTGTCTGCGGTAGATACTCTTGTGGATAATCGTAATAGTAAAAACCATATTGACTCTCCTCAAACTCGTCGCCTTCGTACGGTATCCCATAAAAATCACAGAGATCCGCGCTCGGGTATCCTTCCGGATAAAGTCCTGGAGTAGGCGGAGAGGATCCTTGCGAATCAGAGTCGTCTGGATGACTTAATACGACAACAGGCGTACCTGGACCCATTTCATATTGACGATAATTACTTGTCACATGTCGAATGGGAGCAGGCGATGCACTATACCTACGCAGTCTGGGAGACTCCAAGCTCTGCAAATAAACTTGATCGTACATGTATGCATACGCAGGCTGAGGAAGGATCTGAGAAACGCGAAGAGGGACGCGAAGATCCTTTGGAAAGCCTGAGGATGTTTTTGCAAAGGTGGCTGTTTTAGGAGGTTGAGGGAGATTTAATGCACGATTTACCTTTGGAGGGAAGGTAGCCGTCTGAGGAACCCTGCCAAGATTGGAAACATGAGAAGATTTAGACAAGTTTAATGGTTTTGGAGTGGGCCTGGATGTGCCATTTGATTTTTTCGTTGTTGTGGTATTCCTGGTTTGAGATTGAGGCGTCATCTTCGGCGGACTTCTAGACAGATTGTTGGAGTACGACTTTGGAGGAGACCTGGAGACGTACATTGGCTGTTGTGAAGGGGAAGACCTGGACGGAGTGATGAGGTCAGGGTGAGATGAGTTGTTGTGGAAAGTATGTCGCGGTGAGAGAGGGGGAACATACATTTGTTGAGATGTTCTTTGAAACTGAGCCGTTTTAGGAGTCCTTGAAGAAATGTATTCTTTAAAACCAGGTAAAGTAGCAGTTCGTGAACCTGAAGAGTCCATTGTGACAATTATTTTACTTTGAATATTGTTTCTTAATTTGTTTTTTTTTTGTTCACTTTCAAATGTGTCTTGTTATAGATACTAATTACAGTGCAGTGTGCGAAGAAACAATAGCAATAGCAGCGATCGATAGAACAAAGCTGTAGCAATATGTAATCTTATGTTGAGCGAAACGAGTGACCGGGATACCTAGAGCAATATAGGACCAGCCAGTGGCCCACTTGTTCCAGAGAAATTGGAGGCAAGAGGAGAAAAGAGAAATTCTGGCTAGAGACCCGTTCCTTAATGGACAACACTTTTGGGAATATAGTTGGATGGGCTGAGTGGAGTCGGAGATGGAAGGTGTGACAAAATGCGATTAGCAGAAAGGGGAAGATGGGGGGGGAAATATCAAGATATTGGCTATATAAATTATATTAACAATAATAGTGATAGTAATGGTAATATAAGTAGTAGTAATAGTAATAACAGAACACACTAACACATACACACACACACACGCATTTGGGGGGAGGGAAGGGGGAGGACAATATTTATTTTATTGTCCAAACAATTAATATTGTAATCACCAATATTCTGGTGGGGATAACAAATAAATAAGGGCAGAAATAATAAAAACAAACAAAATGACGAGCAAGCATAAATTCTCAATCAACGAAGCCCGTTAAAATAGCGACATTCGTATACGTTCTTTATAAGGAAAGGCACCAACAGTGTTAGTGACACGGGGTATACCCAATTCCGTACAGCCGAAAAGCATAAGAGAGAGAGGAACATTAATATGGGCCGTCGGTCGGTATGGTCATCATGACGATTGTATCGTTATTGAAGAATGCTTTGTTCTCTGTCGAGATTACAAATTCCATAATATGGTTGCTTTTGTATTACTTTGCTCGAGTCTATTAGAAATTCGTCAAGCTAAACGGGGCTAAGAATAATAGACAATGTCTATTGCATACAAAGATACTTGTACAATCGTAAATCTATGACGCGCTCATCAACTCGGCATCAACGACAGTCTTCTCTTCTTTTGGTAACCTATTTAATATTGTCAAAATGGGTCGATGCAGAGTAACAAAAATGCACGAGTAGTAGTAATGGTATATACTTAAGCTTTGTGGTACCACAATTATTACCTTAGCACACAATAGAATTCGTTTTCCGAGAGAATTAATGTAAAAACAAGCATACAACCTGAGGAGATACTGTATTAGTATGGCTGTTAAAACGGTTAAATGGATGACATTTAAGTATCGTCTATTCCCACCTGTTCTTTCATTCAGCGTGCGAGTTTGATACCAATACTAGTAATCATGACTATTCCAAAAAACCATCGTTCTTGTTTAACGTAGAACGGACCAATTGAACTTTTTGAATTAAAGAATTTGAAGGGATTGGTTGTTGACCATTGGTAAAACAAATCCATGCGGGCGCTTTTTCGCTTGGCTAATATCTAGACAACAATAGGTGGCCGACTCTAGTCTGGCCGTCAGGTCTTTGTAATATGAGAATTGATTTCAAATTGAAATTCATAATGACTCTCCTGACAATTCGCACACGCTATACAACGAAACGTGTGTCAGTTATTAATTGCGTGATCAAAAGCCCATAGGTTATAGAAGTAGTAATACAAAATAGACAATCCCGGTCTGTTTGAAACGGGTATGACGAAATTTAAGGTTTGGGGAAATCGATGTTGAAAGCAAGAGTTATTTTTAGAGAATCAAGGATATTCACGTTCTCACTTAAAGTTTTGAATGACTAAACCCTGATTTTCTAAACCACGATTGGTGTTTTTCACTTGGTCTATTCGCGATAACTATACGAAAAAAGAAATTTCGTAACGGCAGGGAACGTCAACGTTCTGGCCTTCTAAAAAAGTCCGTAAACCGAACTACGTTTGGATGCTATTCGAAGATTGAATGTTTACAATCAATGCTTAACAAAGACAGACACTTTATATCCTCGCTTTTTTGACCAACTAGCCACGAGTCGCCTTATCATAAACAATTTAACTTCAGCTCAGGTATTAATATTAACATTAATATTATGTAATAATATATTGAAAATTAAGGTTTTTTCACAGAAACATGCATCATGTGACAACATGAATATATTTCGTAACAACAGAGAGGGACAACTTTTATGCGCGGAAAACGTCTGGGTTTGATACTCATGTGAACAGCCCTGTAGAATAACAGTTAACTGAATTCTCTCCACCAATCATTGCAACTAGTAAAATTTAACCGGAACCTTATTCGACTTCCGCTAGCAAATGCGTATCCGCTCAGTTCTGCTCTTTACTGTGAGCAATGTAAACTAGCAACAGAAATCTGGTGTATAATCTGCATCCGTCACATGCATCATCCAATAGTAATAGGCGCTCCCAATATCATCGATTCTACACATTCACACGACCATCCCAAACGTCTTATTAACCACATAGAGTGACTATGATCGCCTCTTATATAGTCATTTTATGAATAGATGTACCTCTGAAGTACGGCATTATCGGTTCTTTTTGAACAATAGTTAATATGATTCACTCCTCCAAAATTAAGCGCGCGTTATTATTCTTATTACGGTCTGTCTGATAATGCTATTCAATATTGTATTTCTCTTACATAAAATCTTTTATTATTATGGTTAATATGCATAGTTAATTGGGCGCTTCAAAGTGGTGAGGATAATTCCTCTGGTATTTCATTCATTTGGTTATCAAATGTTATTTTACTATCTGCAATCTGAATTCCCATGAATGAAACTGCTACAAAAGACTTCCAACATGGTCACAACCATAATAATAAGGCTGTTGGATCTTTCATTGTTGATAAATAGGGACAATTTTCGTGAGAATAGCACTATAATTAACACGTAACTTACTCAATTATACCTACTGCATAAACTCACAATTAGGAATTTTGTATTTATTTACTCGTAAACCATTAACATTTTCTCACAACACGCTTAGCGTTCATCGAAAAAACATTGTTTTAAATCAACATGTTCTCTCGTACATACGCGGATAAAATTAATATTGGTTAAAATTCTCATGGGATTATATGAAGAGACTCACCGTGCGATAATATTAACAAACAACTAATAAATACTTAACCATATTGGGTAAATTAATAAAGTCAACTACTTACTATATTCTACACCTCTACTACTACTATTTGATCCGACGGATAATCTCTGGTAAACCAAACAAGCCTTATGTAAATCAAGTAAGTCGTTGACCATGCATTGGAGTGGTAACGGTTATGTCCTTGATTTCGTTGCACAGTTTTACACGTCACGCGAGTTGTGATTCTTTGCAGTGACAACAGATGCTTGATAAACGCGCGCACACGAAATATTATCGATTTTCGGACATTGAAATTAGACTTAGATTTACTATATAGCCAACCTGCAAGAATAAGATAGCCATTAGACGTAACCGTCGCTAACTGAGGAAAAGAATTAACGTATCAGCAGGAAAAAGAAGAAGCTAATTCTCAAGTGTTGTAAATCAGCGCGACTGATTCCATTTCGGGATTTTCTTTAAAAATTGTGTGGTTTCTGCAACAATACTAGCATTTTATCTAACAGCTAATCTGTCAAAGTCCAGATGATCGCTCATACTATAGTGCGCGCTTACAAACTGTAGAAGCAGGTGTTTTGAAATTAAATCTTTACATCACCTATCGCAGAGGCAAGAGTATGTTCACTATTGTAATATGTAAAGGGTAGATTCAAAAACCATCTACAGAGGTGGAAAAATGCAAAACTTTTCTTTCTTTGCAGTTATAAAGGTAGTTAAACCTGTTCAAGAGTAGCTAAAGTTCCTGAGCATATTCCAAACCTCTATTCACTATGTGAAATGTAGTGGGCTCATCCAATGAAACTTCACAACTCTGATGGCTCTCTTGAAGGAAGCTTTGTATTTTTTTTTCCTTTGAATATTCTGATTAGTAACAGCTCCCCATGGTCTACCAGTATGAGAAAGATTCTTAATACTAAGACTTTAAAATTTAGAGTTTAATCCATTGACTATTTTGTAAATAAAGATCATGTAGTCAAATTATTGAACTCCACACGTATATTATGCATATACCATCTTTCTTTGTACCAAGCAATCATAGTAATAAATACTTTAGAAACAGCACAGCAAAAGATAACATCCAATTAATGCTATTATGCCATTTCAATAACAATTATAATTATGCAAATTGTCACAGTAAAGTATTTATTATATACACCTTAAGAAAAATTATGTATACATAACAAGCTTATTATTAATTAGAGTTCCTGAAATTGATAACGTTTTTGTAAACAGTCTTAGAATTAAACAGATTACAACCAAGATAACTGTCAAAAGCTTACCGATTCTATTAACTTTTGTTGTAGGAACTCTTCAACCTGTTTGTTATCCGAGTCAGTAAAGCGTGATTACCATAATCCAGTAATAGTAAATGCGATTTTATCGAAAGAAACCCACCTGTTGTAATTCTTTTACAAGATTAATTAGATCCGTCTCTAAAACCCGTTGCCGTTGTTTCTTCGTCTTTAGTTCGATTTTTAGGTTTGTATTATCACTTTCCACTTTATTAAGTTCTTCTAGCAATCTAGCTTTTTCTTGTAAGCGAGCTTCCATGGCTTTTGATCGAACTCTCGCTGCTGGGGAAATGTGGGTGCCTCTGTGGTAATGTGAATTTTGTACGTAATAAGCATATTACGTAAAAAGTGGTCTTTACAATCAGTGTACACTTACACTATGGAGCCTGACGGTGTATGCCCATTCCGTTTGTTTTCGATTGCTTCGTTTATCAACGTATCCAGCTCGTTGAGCTTCGCCACCACATCGTACTTTTCTATTATTGCATCGAACTCTTGCTGTGAGATAGTGCAATTTAAACATTAGAAGAAGAGACGCCCGCATTGACAAACAGTTCGACAAAGCTTATTTACATGCCTCGGCACTCTTTCTGATAAATTCAACTGTCTGCTCGTGCGCTGCTTGTAAGTTATCTGGAGCCTTCTCTGCCAGTGCTGGAAAAGCACTCGCTAACTTGGGATAACTATTATCATAGTATATAGGTGGGAAAAAGGTTAAACCATGCAGTTGGAATAGGAAAAGACGCTTCCAAAAAATGTTAGTATTTACTCAAGTAACAGTTTCATACGAGAAAGCCTGAACTTGGCGATTAGTCTACCTGGAATCTTTTAATGTGTCGACTAATCCTCGCTGAAAAGCCCCTTTCAGGCGTTTAACACGCGATCCCTCCTGCTGCTGCAATTTACCTGACTGCATTTGTTGTGGCTGCCGTCGCTTGGACATAATTGTGAAAATAGTGTTTATGTATAGAGGACGAAGTGTATATGCTATGAGGTCGAGAACGGAGCGGGGTCCCGGTATTAATATCGCTAGTTCGATCTACTTAATGTTAGTCGCGTTATGTTAAAAATAGAGCAACATTTGCATCAACCAATCATGTGTATGGAGAAGGGACGATCATCAGATCAGGCAAGTATTTTGACACATGACACGATTAATATCAGACCGGGGATTTTCAACATTTTAATTGATTGTGTGTTCATACATAACCTACATGAAAAAAACGCACATAATATATGCGAAATCCAATGTCTGCAAATGATTTAAAAATTCAACAGCGCGCTTATTTTTCTTTGAGCAAGTTGGCTGGCTTTATAAGTCCCATGACCATTTGGCGTTAGATCCTATAAGTTACTATTACGCGACTTTCCAAATATATCAACAAGATCCTGATGGAACGAGATGAAATTACTAGGCGCGACGTGTATAATTGCCAGTTGTTCCTTCTTTTGAATAAAAAAGAGTGGATTTGACTGATAACCATAAGTGAAGATGATTTTAAACAGTCTCCATAAATAAACATGTCCGTGCTCCCATATTGATTTCGATAGACCAAATATTGTTAACGGAGGTAGGTTCCAGACAGCGTGCTATTCAGACAAGACATGGGATTCGATTCGTAAATGTGATGAGTATACAATTGGGTTGTTCATTATTGGAGGAAACACAACAAAACGTATCTGCCTTTTAATAGTGTTTGTCTGATCGGAACTCCAACATCAGTTATCAACTAGGACATTGAGCGGTACGATATTCAATTGACAATCTCATTATTGTTCATATAAAATACATACTACGGTTCTAACGGTGTGTCTAAGCGATCGTTCGACCTATGTGATTCAGTAGATGTATCAATCGACATCTCGACAAACGTCAGCAAGCGTTCCAAATCATGTTTGATATTATCTACCGTCCCAATTCTGCTCTCTTCGAAAGCGGATTCAATTATTCCTTTGGTCGCAAGATCGAACAGTACTCCATTGGACTGCATTTCTGTTAACAATGCGTCCATTCCCTGTACATCTTTCCAGAAATCCCATCTTATCTTCAATATCTCATTGTACACAGGAGTATCACATCCGACAACATATGATTCAAAACCCTGTCTCTTGGCTTGTTCAAATATGGACAAGGCCATATACGGATCTCTAAACACATTACGGCAATGTGCGATAGACGTTTTAAGAAGGTGAGAGTAGCCAGGAGGGAATACTTTCGGACTTGTCTTAACAAATGGATTTACGTCGCTTGATGCTTTTCCCACCTTTCCACGCTGAAATACATTCTCCCATACAAATACCCTAAAATCATAATTAGTACTACATTTTGAAAGCTCGTTGATCATCTCTTTTAACTTGTTCTGCTCATCGGCAGTCATGGACATTGAACCAATCCAATGCGGCCTATATCTCGAAGCACGTGTAGCTGGTATTCCTTCAAAATTATTTCTAAACCATGCCGCACTCTTTGCGAGATTATTCAAACGCTCTTCAAAAGCCGCAGAACTTGCTTTCGGTCGAACACGAGACTCTGACTGAGCCATTCGTTCGTTATTCTTTATCAAATAAAGTAAATGTCTCTCAATGGCCGGCGCTCCTATCTCTCTCTCTGTTTCATGTACCTGCATTGATTTTGGTTTACTGAACAGTGTCGAAAATATATTTTTAAAAGATTCCATCTCTTCAGAAGTCAATATTCGTTTGTGTTTAGACTCGCGCGGTGTACCACCTTTGCGTGATTCTGGTTTAGATTTCAAACTTGATTCAGATATCTGAGGTTCAGTATCTGCAAATAGAAATCCCCAATCTTTTCTGGAACTGCCACTTGACTGTGAATAGCGACCTGCCGCTTCGTCAGCTATGTCATCAGATCGGTTGGTTGACAGGTAAGTTGATCCTTTAGGCACCAAAGTTTTCCTAGCTGATCAATTGAAGAATCAGGCGTGAAGTTATATTCTGATCCCTGCATCAAGCTAAAAGATGGAGATCAAATCTCACCATTTCGTATTTGGTTGACAAATCGATTCGCCAACATTTTTAATTTTGCAGACAAAGAATTGGCGTGCCAAAAAGACACATGATTCTGAATTGCGGGGGGTGCAATAATCATGTGATTACCAGTGTAACTACTAAGCGCAGGTCGTTGGGGCCCTGCACTTAGAGAGAGAACCTGCATTTAGGGAGAACCAGTAATATTGAATTCACGTGGATATATTATTTACTACTATAGACTGTAAATAATAAATCAACAAACAACAGACCTGAAAAGAAAGTAATACAGATGTTGCAAAAAGCGGTAAATACTCAAAACCGTTTATTGTACTGGAATTCTTTATCAATATCAAGAGCATTAGAGTTGAAAAACAATTCGAGATTAGTCTGCCGAAACGATATAACGTGCAGATTTCTCCCCATTTTGAAATTGTGCCAATATATTATGACATATCTTGACTCTATGACCCATTCGCGCATTGCGTTTTCAAGATCAGGATATTGGACAGCTCTTGATATTTTGGTATTAGAGACATTTTCACATTCCTTAATGTCATTTCGCTTCAGTAAACGTCCAACAGTCGTTGGGTTGATGTCTAAGTTAAATGTTGTCTTAACCCATTGAGCAACATTTACATGGGTTCCTGTCTTTGTACTTGAGAACAAGTAATAGTGATTGATCAACAGTACTTAAATGAAAATGATCTATAAATTGATTGGCTGTTTATTGAACTGCACACTTATGGAGAATTTTTTACAACAGGGAGAACCTGCAGGTCCCAGATTATTTCCTGCACTTAAAGATAATGCACTTAGGATCATGCACTTAGGGAGAGTCCACTGTATATCAATACACACGCGGACAATAAACTGACCCCGTTATATATACACAGTGAAACTCGATAAGTCGGACACGACTGGCTGGGCATGGTTATCCGACTTGTCGAAAGGATTTTAATATGAAAAAAAGAAAAGGGCAGAGATTTTGTCCGACTTATCGAGTTTCACTCACTGTGTGTATATCGATCATGCTCAATCAAACGTAAAATTTTTTTCGCAAGATTTTCCTCAACGAAACTAGTTGAATCTACTACCACACAATAATCAAACCGAAGTGGTAAACTGCCGTATCTTACACACTTGACGTGCTGCCACCTCAACATGATAAGTGGGGGCAACGTTTATGACGGTGAAGAGCAGCACAGTGGCATGGTGGGAAACTTAAACGCAAATATAAAAAACTGGTTTATTATCAGTAACTGTAGCAAACATTTAAAGTGCCATGCCTCAAGGCAAATAAGCGCATACATTAATAAGATTTTTATTATCAGTAACTATGACAAATATTTGAAGTATCGACATACCGTATATACAAAGAGTCGCGCGCTTTATTCTTGCGAACATGCAATAACACCGCACCGAATTATACAATGAGCTGGCTGCACAAATCATAAAAACGATACGTGGTAGCCCTTTTTCTTGTTTTCTAGAAGAGCAGTCTTTCTTTTTTATAATCACGACTAGTTTGTTGGTGAGCTTCTTTTTCTTTTTTTAACAGCATTTCATTAGTTTGATTGACTAAAAAAACACTTTCAAGCATTTCTTCAAGGGGAATGTTATCAAATCCAGTTCGGAGATATTCATAATTACCAATTTTAGCTATAATTTCTTGGTTTTTGCCTTTTTTTTTCACTGTTGGGCGATATATTTTAATAAATTTAGATTTGCATAAAGCAGTTTTATTTCAAATTGTGAGTTTTGCTTTGTTTAGTTGTTGTTGTATTGTTTCGTTTTCTGTCATGTTTTTTGTTATTATTTTAAATATACTTATACATCAAAATTTTTTATGATTAAGTATATTAATATAGTCATTTTAAAATTAAAGCAGAAAAAGTCAGCAATGTTTGTTGAAAGATTAAATTTCCTAAACTTGATACCAATTAACAAGTGGTGAATTCATAGTGGATATTGTGATAAAGATATTCTTGCCTTTTATAATCCAAAGGAAGATAAGATTGAAAAGGATTTAATTTCTTTGATACTTTCAGAAACACTCACTTGTTTAGTTTTTAAACAAATTAAATTCAGTATTAGTATAAGTATCATTACACATTAGCAACCAGCTGGGCTTTGACAACTCCAGGATGAGCTCTTCAAAAGAAAATGTTGATACCTTTGCAAACCACTCAATTTCCTAAAGAAAATCCCCAATACTGAATTAGGATCTAGGTACTGAAACCCTTTTCCGCTGTCATAACGCTGAGTATTGCTTGTGAATATGGAACAGTTGATATCAGCCAGGAGCCATTACTACAATCCGAAAATTTACGAGAAAGTCATGTATGCATATGATAAAGGCTTAGAAGGAAGGATGGCTGAGTGGGCAGTAAAGAAATTTTTACGACAAAACAGCCAGTAACTTTGTAAAGCATATCATAACAAACATAATTATTGGCGGATTTTCTAAAAAAACGTCTCTACATTGAGCTGAAAGATTTAAAAGACAGGTGATTTTATTGTCGATATAGAGTTGGTGCACCATAGTCAAATAATCTATCTACCCCGGCAAAGGCAGCTAACAGTAAATATGCACGATTTTATTTCGGCATCTTGTTAACTCAACCATATTGACATACTAATACGTGGAAGCACATCGTATAATTCGAACCTGTATAAGCCCGTTGAATACAAGTTTATTCAAAAAGGGGTTTTACATCATTATGATAAACGGCATTCCACGTGTTGTCATCCTTGTCACTAATAAGCTCGATACTAGTGTCAATGCATCTGGACGCTTATTAGGATCGGCACCCCAGCAAAGCTGAGCAATTTTCTTGAATTCTTCTGATGCTGAATCAGGCATCGATGGTCGTAGTCCGCCCATAATATCGCATACTAAATCTCTATCGAACTGCATACACAGTCAAAGTCGATATAACGGACTCTCGATATAACGGACACTAAGTAAAATCTCAATATACCGGATTGACGTTGAGAACGGGTTATAGTATTTTATCCGCTATACCGAATTTCTTCGTTATAACGGATTTTTGAAAATTTTTATTAATGGAACCGACTAGTCCGTTATATCGACTTTCACTGTGTATCTCTAAAAGGTGGTTCACCAGTAGCAATCAAATACATAATTATACCAAAAGAATACACATCTGATCTCTGAGTAGATTTGCAGGTATGGAAGATTTCCGGTGCAATAAAGGGCAAAACGCCTCGAATGGTTGAATTTGACTCGTGTGAATTCACTGATCGGAGTACTACTATCCAAAACAATGTTTCTGCCATGAAGATCACAATGCACTAATCCCACATCAATACCAAACAAATACATTGCAATATACTGTAATTTCATCATCCATGTCAATTATTGAGTAATCACTTCGATTTCTTTGATGGGATTAGTCTCAAAGCCTATCGGTTTGGGGAATTTATCTTATCTAAAACTGCTAGTAAATATCTTGAAGTTATTTGATGTAATAAAAGTTGAATTCAAATATTTACGAAAAATGCGTAAATCGTTAACATTGCTGCATTAAAGTCAACATCTAATAGTAGTTTCCAAACCAATTCTAGCCTCTTACATGGTGTTTTTTCTGCAAATTCATCACTGTTGTCAAGCCAATCACATTACTATGGAGAATGCTAACCTCTATCTATCCCTGCTAAATCAACTAATACAGTTAGTGATCTTAAACTGGCTTTAAACTAAAGTTTGTCATTACAAGGCAAGCTTTTAGACGAGACGAAGCCACGCTGAGCCAAAATTGCATTAAACCGAATTTTATTAAGATCTGTAGGAAAGCCCGAAGATTTTTGACTAACCGACAATAATAACTTTGTCTCGATATACACCGTAAAGTCCGGTTTAACGAAGTGCTCCGTTCCATTTGCCTGACTTTGTTCGTTAAGTGAGACTTTACTGTGTACCGAATTTGCCACGTAAATTCATATTGATCGGCTTTTTTCTTGCATCCTTTGATTGTTTTCTGCAACGCCTATTAATGCCGAACTCCATTTTTCTATCTTTTCACATGCCATTGTAATGTCATAAACAATCGCTCGATTATTTATCAAGCAGAATTTCGGCCATCTACGTCAGACTTGTACGGAAAAGTTTCTTTCATATACATTCGACCCATCCAAGTCAAGTGATTTTGACAGCTTTCTTTCACCATCTTCACTAAACTTAATTTTTGGATTCTGCTATGCTGAAGTTAAAACTCCAGAAGGGATAAAAGTGCCTGTGGATTTATCTAAATTTTGCTGTTCGGTCGAGTAATCAAGTAATTGCTGGGTTTTTCCCCTACAGTCACACTTCCTATACAGTCACAATATGTGAGTCATTGTCAACCGATTTCAGCATAAAATTGAAAATTATGCGTGTAAAAACATTATTGTTACTTATTAACTTCACAATGTCCAAAGCGTGTAGAAGTTTATTTAACACAAGCCTAGATAATCATCATGAAATTTGCGAATATGTTAAACAACATCCAAAAGCGACTAACCGTTTAATAAGAAATTCATACTTGATGACTCTACTGTTAACAATTAAAAAATTAACATTTAAAATTTCATTGTTATTGTCGTTAACATCAGTGGTGTTTCAAAAGAGGGAGTTTGTATAATAAAATTTGGCATATTTCCTATTCACACTCCCATACCAGTTTTGCCTGTGTGACTGTAGACCGTCAGGTATCATGATGACGAGTAACTGAATTTTGTCATTGATTATCAAACTGATAGATTTTAGACACGTTTAAGTTGGAATGTTCATAGAAACTATATTAATATCAAGTTGATGAAAGGCAGAATTGAACAACTTCTCTCTTTAGATGACGCTAGTTTTAAGCTCGTTTACGATAATAAATTTTATTGGACAAAGAGATTTTTCACATGCATTGCCTTATCCCTGCATTTAACCAATGGTGACTAGGTAATCAATTTTGGACCCCTAAAGTTATTGCAATTCACACTCAAAACTCCTTTCTCCTTCGCATTCATATAAACAGCCAACACCCATGGCCCCTCGAGTACCCACCACACGCACTTCACAAACTTCTCCTCCAGCAACACCACCAACTTCCGTTGTCGTTCGTGATGCTCTAGACTTCTTCGCCCAAGTAAAACAGGAGTGTTCTGCGGAGACTGTGAAACAATTCGTCAAACTAATGCGGGACTACGACAAACAGAAACTCGACGAACATCAAGTCATCGAGCGCGTGACTCGTTTATTCTCGCAGTTTCCAAACCTACTTCGTGGCTTTCTTAAATTCCTACCCGGAAAGTCTTGCGACGCAGTCGCTTACGTCGACAGAGTGAAATCAGAGCTTAGTGGACAACCAGCAGAGTATACTCAGTTCCTCGAAATATTTACAAAAGACTTCCAAGTTCGACCAGAGTGCTTGATTGAGGCTGTAGAAAGGCTTGCCATATTGTTCATTGGAAGACGGCATTTAATGGACGGTTTCCTGGCGTTTTTGCCAGCTGGTTTCGGGGTTGTATACGAAACAACATCGGAGCACAAGTGCGTCATTAAAATATATACTCCGACTGGACCCGGGAATACGATATTTCAAGAAATGGATGATCGGTTTTATAAAGTGGCTCCTGGCATGACGGAAAGTCCGGAATTAATGAAGCCATGAATCTTAGAAGGAATTATTGACAGTAGAACCCACGCGAATAAGTTTAACCAAGGGACGGATTGGAGCGGTCTGTTAACTATTGTATACATATTATTATCAAGGGTAATCTTTCGTTCTGAAATTTTATTATCAGTAAGTTGCGGTGGTGACAAGGGATTTCTTGAAATTGGTACGAGATTTTCGAACATGCATTAAACATCGCTTCTTCTTTTTTTGTAAAGTTTTTACATTCTTTAGATACGGCAATATTTCCAAGTTGCTTTAATAAATTTAAGGGCGTGTGTATCAATACTCTCGGCGTGACAATAGGAGTATTCCATCGAAATATCTTCATTGGATGTAGTAAAAGGAAAAAAGACCCTATGTTTGACTTCACAATAATTCTGTCGGTTGATCAGTTATCGACCAATCCTCGTTCATACTAGCCATCGCCGTTTTTCATACTTTTTATCGAAAATTACCAAAGATTAGTATTATAGCTTAGACTTGCTTTTTTACTTACGATACTCCGAGAACGTTAGTGATAGATATGTATGAGTGTGATGATGTTCATTTGGAAACCGTGTATAAATAGACATAACGCCACGCATCCCTTAACGATTTGAGATTGTGCAGAGATTTTGATAGCGAACAGCTATAGCTTCAGAGCAACTACTATTGCTGTTGATTGACAAGTAAGTTTGAAGGCAACAAGGACTTCAATTGCATGTTATGGTGATGAGAACGTAATTAAAAATCGCCTTTGTTTTGTTTTGTCACATGAATCAACAGTGGGTGTGGCTGAAGATTAATAACGTGATTAGTAACGCGTGGCAGCGGTGGCTGATGTACAAGATGTCGCGTTCGCTGCGCCGATGACGAGAGCCGTTCTCGGTCGGTAGTTTGGTAAGTAGAAGCTTACATTCTTTGCGGGAAAGGTCAGAAACATTCTAACGATTGCCGCTCTCTTTTATTATGTTTTAGACTTCTGACAGTCCCATAACTACAATTTTCGAGAATGTATAATAAAAGTGTGAGGACGACAGGACTTGTGAAGCTTTGCAACCTTAGCAGTTAGTTGGAGACATGCTGGAACCGCCCCGAGCATCAAGTTCTTGCACTTCAGTATACGAATGGTGCCTATCTAAAAATAGTAACTGTTTAATTCACAAACATTAATAAAAGCAAAGGATTTCTTGACGTAAGCAGTAGAAAGTGAACGAGCTGAGTCGAATTGGAAGACATTTTGTATGAATTTCGCAAGACAATACGACTTCGATGCAATTGTGAAGATTAGAAATAATGACATGCCTGTTATCTTTTTGAGTATGTTATGTTTTAGATTTAATCTTTATTATGTAAACGAAGTGAATTTACTTATCTTCGATCCATTCTCAAAAAACGGTCATTGATAACGTAGATTTTCCTTTCCTCGTAAAAACTTGTATTTAAATATAATATCAACTGCCTCGCTCGTTTCCAAGTGTTTTTTATAATGTTATTTCTTCCACCAGAATTCATTTCAAACATAAGGTTTGAGCTTGGAATTTCTCTATTGTAAAATCCGAATGGTACCCTTACTATTACCAAACACTCTTAGATTGTATGATACCGATACGTTCTTCTAAACGACTTCTAGTTTGCTCTTGATATCTTAGAGTTGTTTAAACCCATTCCATGGGCTAGCCTTTCAACAATAGTATATTTAATATTGTGATCCAAATACTCTGCTGCATTTCATGAGTTGCGACATCGAGTAAATTTATCATATAAATGATATTGGCTTGTCGCGAATTCGTGGTATTGCAACGATGGCGTAATGACAAACACATTGACTGCCGAGTAATGTGTTAGTTTAAGTTATGGACTCGAAGAACTGATATACAAAGATTGTAATTCGATTAGAGATAATATATTATACGTGTATATTGGCAATTTTTAGTAAGCCTCGACTATGAGTCTGAGGTAATAGTAAGTATTATATTCAATAATCATGATCATGATAAACTCTGTTCTAGTTTTCTCGTGATAGTTGTATTGCGCCGCTATATACATGAGAACATAAATTATGTTGTCGTTAAATGTTGCATTATAATACTTCTGTGCAGAATAAGTGAAATATTTTTTAAAAAAAAGAAAAGCGATAGTTCCTCCGATATATGTTATACACTGTATAATACATATACTTTACATAGATTGGCCCATTATCACATAAGTTTGGCCCAAGGATCTTCTAGCATTGATTTTTTGTAATAAAGTTTAGGATTAATGTTCTCTTCAGAAGTTTGTGACTTCCCTGCTGCACTAGCAGACGTTTCTGGCTGAAATTGTATGTCATTTGTTATTCTACGTCTCTACACAAATTGAACAATCATTACAACATTCTGTTGGAATTGTCGTGAATTTCGCACATAAAAGTACCTTTGACGTATCCGTCCTGTCTTGTTGGTAAATTGCCCGTCCGCGCTGCCCATAACCTCCTCCACGTTGCTCATAACCTCCTCCACGCTGCCCATAACCTCCTCCACGTTGCTCATAACCTCCTCCACGCTGCTCATAACCCCCACGGCGCCCATAGCCTCCACGCTGGAAAGAAGACCGGCCTCTGTTGTTACCGCGACCTCTAGTACTAGGTCCTCGCCAGTTACCTCTGAAACCTCTATCAATTCCAGACTGTAGATAATGGTGCGAAGTCAGTCCGTCGTAACCTGCATCGGCACTTTGATCTCTAATATCATTAGCCTCTTGCTTGTCAGCTTCTTCTGAAGGGTCAAAGGAGACAAATGAGCTTGGCAATGGAGGGAAAGCTGAGGAGGAAGAGGACGTTTGCTGAGGTTCCGTCATTTCTCAATAGAAAAGGAAAGATTAACAGCACTAAAAATGTATTTACATATCACGTGAAGGGAAAATCTTTAAATACTAATCCACGTAAGCTTGTAACACAGGTTATAAATCATTCTCTTTTCAAAAATGTCTATTGTCGAGCAAGACGTAGAGATGGTGGCGGCGGAGGAGGAAGTCGATGAAACGGCAAAGAATGCATTAGAGGCCGATGCTTTGGTGCTAGCAGGTGCATAATTCATAGCTCATTCGATGGGGGACCATGATTTTGATATTAATTGTGCGATTGGGTCTTTCATTTTCCACACATGATCAAACAGATCTGAAACAGAATTTTGCCTTGCTTGAACGGGCCGTGGCGACCATTGAATCTCGCTTCATAACACGTGTTTTACGGACTATCGCATCGATTCGAAAACGTCTGAATGCGAATGTATTGAGTCAGGCCATTCAATTAGCTTTTCCGAGAGGTCAGCAGATCGGTTCCGTATTTAAGCGCGTTGCTATATGGATGAAAATGATTCAGCGTCAATAGAATGTTTTATTTTGTCAAGGACTTTTGAGATCATTTCCAGCAATATGGCATACTTTAAGAGCGTTATGAAAATTGTTTCAAACCTTATGCGAAAGCGAATAAGCCAGCCGAATTTAGCTTACTAGCTTGAACTTTCAACTTTGAAACAATAGATTCACCTGATAGGAGTAAATTACTGGACTATCTCGGAAAGGTGCTAATCGATGCTTATTTTCATTAAATTTTTTTTTTTTTGGGGGATGGACTGCTTATTGTTTAATGCCTGCTTCTTTAAAAACTTTGTTCGATCCAGGAAAGTGGTGTGATGGAAGTCGATTCCGAGGAAGACACTCGCGAACAGGCTCCCATATTGCCAGAAATAGATATTTATCTTAATCTGATGGTGATGATATATCTCCTAGACAAACAAGAACTGGAAAAGGTAAAATGATCAACAATAGCCCCCTTGTTAATTCTGTTACTCTGACCTTTGGTTGTTAATTGCTCGTCTAATTTTGTGTCGATAGGGTGTCCAATTGGCAAACGAGACCACGTCCAGACTTCAGACTTTCAGTCGCCGTACGCTAGATCAACTTTCTGCACGCATATACTTTTACTATGCTCGTTTCTACGAAATTTTGGGGAAACTGGCTGAAATAAGGCCGTATGTATTCGAACTTTTACTTCACATTTGTTTTGGGTTTAATCACAAGACGCTCACAATTGTATACCAACAGAATATTACTGGCTGCTCAGAGAACGGCTACGTTACGCCACGATGATGATTGTCAGGTAATCGATATTTATGCTTTCAACTTCATTCTGGTCGATTTTGCTGACACGGTTGTTCATTGTAGGCCACTTTGCTCAACCTACTTTTACGGAATTATTTCCATTACAATCTCTATGATCAAGCGGATAAGTTGGTCAGCAAAGCAACATTCCCCGAGACCGCGGGAAACAACCAACAAGCGCGCTATATGTACTATTTGGGTATGTTGAATTATCGAGTGGACACAGCAAGATGCCAATATTCCGTTCTAAAGTTTTGTTTAACAAATGTCATTAGGTCGCATCAAGGCTATCCAGCTTGACTATACTGCCTCGCATAATCACTTGTTACAGGCCATGCGCAAGGCGCCACAGAATACGATTACGGCGGGTTTCCAACAGGCTGTAAGATCTTTTATCTCTCTCATCAATAGTCAATGACCAATGGGTTCACCAGAGTTTGCTAAGACGTCTTGTCATTATAGGTATATAAGCTCTCGATAATTGTTCAGCTATTGATGGGAGAGATTCCTGAACGAAGTATATTTAGACAACCAGTTCTCAGGAAACCATTGATTCCTTATTTACATATTGTGCAAGGTATTGTCAATTTATATTCATTTGATTAATTGACATGACCATTTAATCTTGTTTCTTTATTTTAGCTGTACGAGTTGGCGACTTGTCAAATTTTCAGGAAGCACTCGCTAAATATAGCGATGTCTTTCGAGCTGACAAAACATTCACACTGATTTTAAGGTGGGAACGAGAGACGTTATCTGTCACATGTCTTTATGTTTCTTACTAATTTCTTTCTTTTTAAGATTACGACATAACGTCATTAAGGCGGGTATCAGAATGATAAGCCTATCATATTCGCGCATACATTTGCGTGATATCTGTTTGAAATTACATTTAGACAGCGAGGAAGATGCTGAATATATTGTTGCCAAGGTAAGTGAATTTCGATGCACAAAGTGCCTCCTAATTATTGCTAATCTTTAAACCGCATTTACAGGCCATCCGTGATGGCGTCATTGACGCTACTATAGATCATGAAAATGGATATATGAAGTCAAAGGTGAGCGAAACCGGTGTATTTAGCATCAAGAAAGCACAACGATTGACTAAGCCAATGGTGAAAATGCCAACACCCGTTCAATTTCAGGAAAATGTCGATATCTATTCCACAAATGAGCCCCAGGTCGCCTTCCATCAGCGTATTAGCTTTTGCCTGAATCTACATAACGAATCCGTAAAGGTAAGCAAGTTGTCAAATAATATTTTCGGTTCATGTGTCTTCATTCTGACTGATTCATTTTGATTTACCGAATAAAATAAAGGCCATGAGGTTTCCCCTGAACGCTCATCGCAAAGAATTGGCATCCGCAGACGCACTGCGCGAAAGAGAACGAGAGCTTGTCAAGGAAATTGCCGAGGGTGAAATGGATGAGGACGACGATGTGGCAGACTTCTAGATTAAATAATAAAATTTCATTATATAATTATAAGATTATTTTGGTTTAACATTCACTGATCCAACATGATGCAATGAAGTTTGTGTCACCAACTTCCATGTGATTGGGTAGTAAGGGGCTAAGCCTTTGCATGAGAAGTCGTGTCTACTACACACTACATGATAGCATTCGCAAGCTACGAATTTGAACCTCAGAAGCCAAACATGATTTTGATATTGATTACTGAAATATTAGTTTATTTCAAATAGGTGCTTTTTGGATATATATGTATGTGTATATATATGTAATACTCAAGTTACAAATAAATGAAAGGAATGTGCGATCTCTTGTTTAATGCACAAGATTTATTCAAATGCGCAGTAACGCAAAAAATAAACTTAATAAAAGAAATATATATATTAACTTGCTCTCTTTTACTGTTTACTCAACAGCCGAAAGTGTTCTCCCCAGAGTAACTATAAAAAAAATCGGTCAGAATGCGGATAAACATCATGCGTTATTCAAAGCACACGATTACTTACGTTATATATAAAAATCCGTCTTCGTCCTTGTGTTCCTCATAAATACTTGACATAAGCGCTGCTGTGGGCGGCAAAACTTCATCAACAAATATAAAGATTGCCTTTTCTGGGCTGAGCTTGATACGTTTCCGAATCACATAAACGAATTGGCCGACTGTTAAATCAGCAGGGACAAGATATTTCTTCTTATCGATCGTAGCAATGTCTGATTTTTCGACCTTCTCACATATGACCTAAATTGAACGTGATACATAATTAAGTATATATGAAAGCAGTAAGGCATTATCGCACTCGATTATACACAACAATCCAACGATGGCGGCGACCAAAGACTGTCTAATCAAATAAACATCTATATTATAGCGCATTTATCATGTCACCCAACCATCATCATCATGCTTGTCATCTCCATGTTCATTGCTATTGAAATAACATCCTTTCAATATAGTGTTGTGGAGTGCTCACGCATGTCTAATAAGAAATACTCACCGGAATTCTATCGGGATATTTCTGTCGGATCCGTTCCGCCTCGGCCTTGCGCTTATCTAAAAGATAGATTGAAAACATTTCGTTGCTGTTAGTAGCTGATTAATAAGGACAGTCAACGTTCGCCTGACTGCGTTATTAGATAGCAACATCTTGGAGACATACCAAAGGGGTGTTCGTCCTTGAATTTAGACCTCATTGTATGATACTGTACAAACTTTGGAAATAAAGTCTAAAGCTGGAAACAGTAGGGTTTGTATATAAACGGCGGGAAGTTGTGAGATGGGTGCACCCTAGACGCTAAAGAAGTGAATAATATCCGCTGGGGAAAAGAAAGGGGTTTTATAGCAATGTGATTGGGCAGCCGCAGTTAAGGGCTGCCACGCATACGTAATATAAGTCAGCCTGCGCCTTGTGATTAATACGCACAAAAAAGTAACGTAAAGCGTCATACGCAATCTTCTATTTATTATTACTGAGCCGCAGTTGAATCCAATCATTACTTTGATGGTTCGACTACGGCCTTTATCATTGTTGTTCATTTTTGACACCCACCCCGGACTCGTACTATTGAAACATCTTTGAAATCACGTGAAATCAAACACTTGATTATCGTAGGTTCCCTCCATCGCTGAGAAACTGATAAGATAATAAATGCGCCACGACATGCAGACACTGTTTATCCGCAGACCATCGAGATCACCGTTGCAGGCGACTGCTGGCATTGTAAGACAATTAGTGACATCAGTTCATAATAATAGACGGAAAGCAGTTGTAATTGGAGGATCAGGGTTCGTTGGTGAGAATGTTGGTTTCACGTACAACAGTTAATATACGGACATGCTTACTTTGGGTATTTTATATTTTCATGAAATCAGGAAAGTATGTTGCCAAAGCCTTTGTTAACGATTCCGATACAGAGGTACAAATATATGCACGGCATCCGAATATCGATGATTTGAAAACTCTAGGTGATGCGATCATGTTTTCAGTTTCACTATTGGTATCGCCCTGGCGCAGTAGTACTTCAATGTGGTGCAGATTCACTCGCTGGCAATCGTCTGGGCTGCTTTAACGTTCAGTAATTGTAATTAATACTCTACTCTGACATTTTGCTTACCACATTCATGTTAACCTCCTTAGGCAATCAGATACTCTCGCCAATCTCGTGTGACATTACTTCTCAATCAGACGTATCAAACGCGTGCAAGGATGCCAATATTATAGTCAATCTAGTTGGAATACTGCATGAGAATCCTCCAATTTACACGTTCGAAAATGTGCAGCATCAAGGTGCAAAAAAAGTAGCAATCGCTGCGAGAGAGAACGAGGCTCAACTCGTTCATATCAGCGCCATAGGAGCTGATCCGAGTAGTGAAATTCCATATGCTAAAACCAAAGGTATATGTGTAATATGTCAAGTTGGTATTACGATAGAGCATATTACAATTTACTCATAATTGCATGCTTCATTAAGGATTGGGTGAAATCGCCGTCCGTGAGGAATATCCAGACGCCATCATCGTTCGTCCGAGCTTGATATTTGGACCCGAAGATGACTTTTTTAATGTAAGCTCAATATGAGCCTTAGAACTTAGAGAAAAGCCTATCCATACCTTTGCCTTCTTTTCTTGAGAATTTGTTATACAAAAAAGATTTTACTAAATTTATTATTACAAGCGATTTGCCAAATTAGCTCGATATCTTCCATTCATGCCAGTATTCGGAGGCGGAAACACTAAATTTCAGCCAGTACATGTATGGGATTTAGCCAAGGCAATAACCCAAGCTGGCAAAGACCGAAATCTACGAGGGAAGACAATCGAGGCAGGAGGGCCTACCGGTATGCTACAGGAAAATGACCTTGTACTTGGCAACTAACCATAATCTGACTACGAAATAGTATACACTTATAGAGAGCTAATCTCCCTAACTCTGAGTCAGGCTGGTATTAGACGACCCATAATTTCCTTGCCATGGTTCGTTGGGACGATACAAGGTTACTTTCTCGAGAAACTCCCAGTAAATCTATTTACAATTACAAGAGATCAGGTCAAGCTTCTTCGTAAGGACAATATCGTTTCACCGTCATCTGATGTGTTAACTCTTCAAGATATGGGAATTGATCCTCGTCCAGCTGAACAGGTATCGTACATTTGAATGAACTGGTTAGATACAGACATACTGATGCGATTGTCATGTTTCACATCGTTTAGATTCTACATCATTATCTGAGACACCATGATCGCGCAACAAGCAACAAGAGAACACACAGAATGGTCGGTAGAGACACCATGGAAGAAATGGCCGAGATTGAGGAAATACGCAGACAGACGCCGAAGAATGGGTTAGAATTGGAAAAAAAATATAGAAAAATACAAGAAGAGCAAGTTAAACGGTAGATCTGCTAGAAATAGGAATTATTATTAAACCACGTTCTTCATGTGGTCTTGCTTGCTATTGGGTTGGCTTTTGATTACTTTAATGACTTGTCTCGTCAGATTGGCAGATTATTATTTTCAAGAATGAGGTCACTCGTAAATAGAAAATCATTAGTGTATTTCCCAAGCTGTTGACGTGGCCCGCGTGTGTACAATTGGGTCGAATATCTCCCAGAACAGTGGAACAGTGACCCTTACAAAAAACTTGGATTTCTATCTATAAACTCTTTTTTCATTGGGGAAGCTGTTATTGCTTTCTCGTTATTGTGTATGTATGCATTTATTTACGATTCGTTGTAATATAACCAATTCGTAATAAATAAAATTATGCGACCACATTCTTGTGCGTTATCCAAATTTCACCTAGACGTTTGCGATGGATAAAAACGCGGGCCCCCATAATAGAAATTAAATGTTATATTTAATATTGTCTTGAGCATTAGCGCGAGTAAAATTTAAATGCATTTCATCTTTATTTGGGACGCGTATCTTTGCTGTAGTTAGCATGAGAGCTGATACAATGAAATTCCCACATGTATCAAGCAAAAATGCTGCAGTTCCCATTAATCCAAGTTTGGGATGGATAGTTTCTATTGGGAAAAGCCCAACCCCAACGTTATGAAATCAAGTACGTCATCGCTTCTCTACGACAATCGGTATGGAAAGCCTTCACGAGGAGGATCCTTTGCCAGACTTCCCATTTATGTATTAGGCTTTTTTTTTTGTTTTGAAATGATATATTATTACGAGTTTTTGTGCGTGTAACTTCTATGCTTAACATCTACAAAAATGCACAATTAACATCATTTGTCAAGTTAATCACGTGTTTAGAGGCGGAATTAGACATGTTGATGCATGCTCGTCAACGCCTTATAGTAGTATTATTCCTGTAACTCTGCGATTCTAATGTATATGTTACATCAACCATAATAGAAAAATACCAAAGCCGTCTGTTTTATTAAGTTATTTTTACGGGTTGAATAACACCTATCAATTAAAACATGCAATTTTAATTTAATTTAATATATTTTTGTATATTATAATTTATTCTTCCTGTCTCGCTCTCTGCTGGACAACCAAATCCTTTCCAGTAACCCGTTTATAGATATCCTTCACATCAGCGCACACCGACTCAAAGTGGGATGTGGCATCATACGAGCGAGAGATGTAGACGCCATCCTCCGTACCATCTTCAATTGGTTCTTGGAGATCAGATTTATAGACAAACCTAAATGATCGAGTTTGAATGCATGAGCGATCACGTAATGAATATGAATAACCATGCCGTTCTAAATCCAACTCACTTTTCCTTGATAGGGCCTAAAAGTTTTAATCCAAGCTGAAGTTCGGCCTCCGGATTGTCCGTTTCCACAATAGTAGAGACAATAGCGAGGTAATAGTTCTGCGCGCACACAAAGTGAGTGCTCGAAACGCATGCAACATAAATGTCTGTGGAAGTAATAAAAGTAACATGATGATGTAACATTAGACAACGGTTTGACACCCCCATACCGTTTATACACTATGGAAAGCTTATCCGTACCATGTTTCCTCTTTGCTTGATTCTGAGGAATAATAAGTTGAACCGAATGCATGTTTGAATCCGTATTCGGTATCGGGTGAGTGAGAATGCATATAGCACGAACCACTTCCCCTACTTTTCGCACTTTAGTCGGGAAGTACGATGGATCACCAATAACCTGTTTCGCCTTGGCGGTCTATTGCCACAAAGAAAGCAACAACATTGATTAAAACTCTCATGGTAATATTCGCAACGTCACTTTAAATACATTAACTTACCTCGTTTTCTGAACGCACTCCAACCACTTTGCCATTCTCGTAAACGATCTCGTCGATTTGCTTGTTCAACATATAAGTACCGCCATAGATGGCACTCAGACTGCATTCCAATGGAGCACAGTTCAGATTACATGAAAACGCATTGTCGTTTCTTCTGCGATTTAAACAATAGTAAACTCACCGTGCAAAGCCTTGAGGCAATTCACCCAACCCATACATAGGATAAATATAGGGACTCTTTAGATTTGCAAAGCGTGTGACCGAAGTAATATATAGAATGATCCTTTCGTACGTCTCGCGGGCAGGAAGATCAAGATATCTAGAGATAGCATGCATCGACGTGTTAATTTATTGGTAGTTCTATGCATGTGATAGATCGCTTGACTTGAAATACTTACGAATCGTCCAAATATAGAGCCATGGCATGACCAACAAACTCTCTTGTTCCAGTCTCAAGACGGAATTTATCATACACGGCCGACATGTTGTTTTTGTCCAGATCAATACCTTGTAAAAATAGTCACAAGAAATTAACACCATGATCACACACATAATGACTGCTTGGACAAAAAACAACTCACCTTGATGGGTAGACGGATCTTCATCGTTCCACTTTTGCAAAAATTCCAAGAAATTCTTCAATCTCCTCTTTTCAAACATTCCCATCAAAGAACTAGTCAATGCATCTTGCTCAGAGGCAGGAACTTTATAAATCTTTTCGCCGCTTGCGACATAAGATCCCGAAATATCCTTAAACTCGATATACCGCGTGACATCGGTATGAATGAGAATTTTAACCAGTTCACCATTGGCCATCATGAACTTTGGAATGAGATCGACATTCCAATCGCGATCCCGCCCATATTCATCTGGTTTCGATTCTTCTGGACGAAATTTACGATAGAGCTAGAAAACACATGCGCGTGATACAAGTTAGAATCAAAGAGTATTAAAAAGCTTTGAAACATATTCTGGATACTGTTTGTATGCTATTTAACGTAAAAAGATCGGGATATGTATTTACACTGTAAATAAAGGTAATGGTTCCTCTCATTCAAATATGTTATTAATTGGTTCATCTAATTGTTACTCGGACCATCCCTTTCCCTCCACCTGAGGCTTTCCTTTGGCTCGCGACACTGTACAAAAAAATTCATAACATACCCGCGTCAAGTCCAAACTAGCGCTCTCACCACCATAGTAGTCGTTCCTGTCCATGTGAAGGACTTTCTTGCCTTCGACAGACAGTAAACCAGATAGAATACATTCTGTCAAGCCGGTACCCAAGACAATAACATCATATTCTTCATCCTGCAAGGCGAAACGTTAAAGAAGCAAGTATTGAGCATAGAGTAGTCGAAGCAGGCTATTGACACGTATCCATCGATAGATAGTAATAATATTCACCATGGTGCGGAGAACAAGTACTAGATAATCGCCAAGAAAGTCCTTAAACCTTAATCAAAAGCTGGATAGAACACGAGAACACCCGCAGAGGACAGATTTTGCTCTTTCCTCCTTTAAGGGGTAAGCAAAAAATACCTTGGAAGCGCAGTTTGATGTGTATGATTGGTTTAGACTATGTCTGTACGACCAAGTCAAATTTGAGCGATAAACGTTAACCGGAAAATGCGCATAATTACCATAATCAGCAAATTAATGTATATTATTCGAGTTTTCTTGTTTCCTATATGCAACAAATATGCCCAAATTTGCAAAAATACTCTAACCAAATTCCGTTGTATAGACATGTTATAAAAAGTTGTCTCAAAACGACAGGTGTGGAACTGGTTTCAACAAACGAGTAAAGAGTTACCATTCCATGAACGTCTAGTTTACAATAGTCATATTGATGTCTTTATTATCATCGACTTTTTGTCCACGTTCTCTTCTCTTTAGCATCATCACGTGTTCAATACTCTAACTCTTTTAAAGTTTTTCTTTCGTTGCTTCTAAAATCCAAATCTTCCAAAAAAGATTTTTGGTTCTATTCGGGAGGAGGTTTAACAAAGCGTTTTGAGGTCCTTTGTATTGATGCGTTGGAAAATGGGCCACGTTTTTTGCAATTTGGTCTTATTTACGTCGTGGCCAATTGCCTTTAAAGTCTTTAAAGTTGCAAACCATTTACTTGTCTATTGGTACGTTTTTTGAAGCTTCTTTCTTTTCGCAGTCCCTTGCAACAGACACATATCTGCATGATTACAAACCATCTTTCAACAATAGTTAGTTTCTTGACACATATCTAATGGTTGGGTTTTTGTTCTCGAGATTCTTTGCAGCAATTTGGTTCTACGATTCGTGCGGCGTAGTTTTCGATAAGTAGGGTTTAATGTTCAGTTGTTCATGTCGGATAACCCTATTAATACGCGCTTGTATTAGACAAGCGCTGTCAATATTCGAAATGACATTTTCACATGGTCCGTCGCTTATTGTAATATTAATATTAATCACGATTACACCCGAAGAGACAAACGGCGTTGTGCGCGTCTAGAAGCGCAAAAAAGGTAATGTTTTCAGTGTCAAGCTTGACGGTGAATCTGTTTTGATCTAGAGATCGAAATCGCTCGACGCCAAGGACAACTTTAATTGTTTCAGGAATTTCTGCTGCGAATCGTATTTAGGAAGTAATCAAATGTAGACTAAATCAGCTTTAATGATCAAAGATGTGACGAATACGACATTGATGTGTTGTTGAGCCCCAAACCTTTTTGGCTAAATCCTTTTTATACAATAAGGGATTAATTAACATTTAAATGATTTTTAATACTTGGGAAATACATGGCAGTAGGGTTTACCGTTTCGAATGAAGGATGGCAAACATTGGCGTTTCAGGGCATTCGAGTGGTGGCGTATTTGCAACTCCACATGACATTGTAGAAGATTTCAACGAACATGTTCTTCTAATACGCGTACCCGAACTATGCAAGACGTGATTTCAGAATCGCATTTATCTGATGCTCTACATAAACCTACGATGCACATGGTGATAAAGTCACCGTTAACAAATTGTCATAAAAGTTACCCTCTTACTATTATTTACGATTCTGCTGATATATGCACATGTCAGCTTGTGCACTATTACTGTCATATCGAACATGTCTATCGAGTAACTGGTCTAGAATCCATATTATTACAGTTATGGAGAAAAAGCGCATGATTATTTAAGCAAAAGATCTTATCTTTTGGGATAATATTTATCCCTATATTCGGTTACAGTTTACAATCTAGTTCAGAGAAACCCAACATAATCGGTATAGTTCTATTAAAGTAACCAAATCAATTAGAGCAAGACTGATCTTATCTTAAAACTAGTCGTAATAGTCGTAATAGTCGTAATAGTCGCAATAGTCGTAATAGTCGTAATAGCACTAATAATACCAAGCAAAACAAATTTCCGAAACGAAAAATCTAATCTTTTGCGTATATTGTCGGATATTGATGTAACATCAACAAATTGTTCCACAAGGTTCTGGGGGTTCGAAACAAACAGGATTTAAGTATTGTTTTATATTATAGTTATGGCATATTCAACACAATTCGGAAATGACCTTTTTTTTTTTTTTCCTCTTTCCTACTTTGGTTCCTGATTCGAGCTTTTTTTTTTCCTTGTGTTCCGCAAACTTTAATCGTTTACCCCGCATTTTCAGCACACGATGGTTGTGCTTCCTTGGGGGGGCAGACAACAGTGATCAGAAACCTAATTCGGAGAAATGAGAAAAAGGATGTAGAAATAATAATATACAGTAGAGGTTGGGTTAATTAAGACTGTCCATCAAATATATAAATGTAACATTTACAACAATGTATTACATTCTTTGTCGGTACAACGATAATAAATGTGCATTTGTAATTGTAATAAGTATGTGCTATGATGATAATGAATGCGTCATATATGTCCATGCCATCCTTTTTCATGAATCAAGGGCGTAAAAAGCAGGGAGGGTGCAGTGATGAAAACGTCTACAGACAGCTAGAATGTTAAGTTGGGATTATTACATACAAGTGTCTGTATTGTGTCTGTATGCATGTCTGTATGTATGAGGATGTGTGTTTGCTCTCAATAGCTGGGGTAGAGATATCACATGAATAGGGAGGTCAGCCCTCCAAGATGACACACACAATAGAAGATGGCTGGCTTCATCACATGATATGACACAACATATGATCTATCATCTATACAATTTATCTCGCATATACTGTATATTATAATAACAAGTTTTTTTATTTGCTTTTTCCGTTCGATAATCAAATCATTTATTATTCATTTCGGCAATGAGTGCAGGTCTTTTCATATGGGACTCTTGTCTCGCACCCTCTCTCGGTTAAGCACACTCGGCTAATTCACACACCTCACACACCTCACACCTCATACCTCACACACCTCACACACCTCACACACCTCACACACCTCACACACCTCACACACCCACAACCCAATCATCGTCAACCTGCGTAAACAAGTTTAATACATATCAAATATATATATACTAAAACAATAAACCCTCGTGATATCGTATTCTCTTTTGTATACCCCGCACTTTTCTACTGCCCGATATGGGAGAAACTAAAAAACTCTCCGGATGAGTGGTGTTCAGGTGAGTATCGAGGAGCAGTAACAAAGATGCAGGTGGAATTGGTTGAATGATGCGTGGGACACTATTGTAAAAGAATGGGATTCAAAAATCGAGGATTGTATTGGTTATACTAATGGGTTGGCATTTATGGCTCAATTGACAGATGCAAAGTAATAAATAATATAGAATAGCATAAAGATTGAGGCATGTAAAAGTATGACATGTATGACGCATTGCTATCAGGTATTAAACTATTATTATATAATTATATGTATGTTGTATGTTGTATGTATGTATGTATGTACGTTGTATGTATGTATGTACATAACACAATGACATTAATTAAAAATCCTTTCAACAACAAGTATACTATGCGAATTCAAAGAGGGGCTTGGCACAGTATTGTCCAGGTTATGCGAGCACATTATTAATTACGTGCCGAGAGTGGTCATGGTAAAATTGGATTTACAAATTAGATCTGCTCAATCGAGTTTATCGAGTCCATCTCGTTCATCTCATTCATCTCGTTCATCTCGTTTATTGAAACGTTCAATGACATTTCCTCCTCTTCTCCCTCTCTTCCCTCATGTAATACGACCCAACTACCATGAGTCCGCATTGTTGAATATTGATTACTCCCCCCCTTCTTCGTTTACAATAAGGAAAAAAAAACTTGTTCAGTTTTTACCCCACATCCACCCTTTCGGAAATGCCCAAATATAGATCTTTTAGATGATTTTGGTCCCAGGTGAGTTATCGATCATTCCGTAAGACAAAACCTATGCTAATCTATAAACAGTCGAAGCATATATGCACAAAAAAGCCCATTGAAACACATAGCGCATGTATACAACCATCTAGACTGTTTAGATGATAATCTTGTATTACATCTCATTCGGAAGGAAGTGCTGATGATGGTGCTCCGGGATCTCAAACATCGTATGATGTGCTTAATAAACATCGTATGATGAAGAGGGTGGAGAGGAAGAGGAAGGGATGAGATGGGATGATGGGATGGGGGGATGGGATTGGGGGGGTGTTCCTGCTGACCCCACCGATTGAATTGAGTCCAAATATAATTTTATTTATTTTTTTTCATCAGTGCAGTGCAGTGTATTGTTTTTTCTATTGTCTACGCTCATCCAGTCAATACCGGCGTAGTCTGGTCATTTTTCTTCAAACTATTGTACATGGCTGGGGGAAGTGACCCCGGTTCCACTCCACAGTAAACATTTGCCATAGATGGACTTTTTCATAGGAGACTGGGGAATGCAAACACACTCGACTCGCTGATAGTAACAGTGCCTTGCATTCCGCAAAATACATTAGGTCCTCCAATTAATTGCTATCGGGTGTAGGCGTGTCTTCCTGTGTAAAAGCGATTACCAATGAGTGGACAAGTGTAAACCACTGGCGAGTACAACGGAATAAAGCAAGTCAACGTCTGTTAATTGCGAATTGTAATGATGATAATCAGTATAAATAATATATATATATTGTACGTTAAAAAAAAAAGTCTTATTTTAAAATTAAATATTTTCTTTGTAAGATGTGTATGTAATCTAAATATAGGCTCATTTTCGAATCTTACGAGTGCTCTCGCATTGTGTGGTTGTACGCATTTTTTTCACAATCAAACATATTATATATACACTCAGCAGGTTTGCATGCAACAATGCATTTAATTGCAGTTGATATGAAAACCCCCCCCCCCCCCATCAGCATCACACCCCCACCCCAGTTGTTCGTCAATGTGTTTATCATATCTCACTTTTTAAATTGCCCGATTGTAAAAGGTTTTGCTTTTACTTTTACCAATGTTTAATGCACTTTTTCATGGGTCACACCGGGACCTTTTGCTTCTTCTTTTTTTCTCTTTTTTCCTCTTTCTTTCTTTCAATTAGTTGTTAGAGGGGGGTGTGGTATATTTCATCGGTGTGCTACACAGTATTAGTGCTACACAGCCTTATACGGATCGACAAAGAGTGCAGCCCTGGTAATAACGATGGCTGTGTGAATGATGATGACAATTATAAAGATGGCAATTATAAAGATGACAATAACGATATGATATAACATATAACGCTAGCAGTAGCATAGTAATTACAGACAGAGTTGTTGGCAATGGCAATGGGTGGCGGTAGAACAGTTTTCAATGAGAGACGCTTATACCCAACACCCCCCCTTATCATGTGGTACATAAATATACAGTATAACATGTTACGTTGCGTTACTTGTGTAAATTTCATTATATGCGAAAACATATAATCCGTTCTCCAGATGTACAAGTCAAAGAGACCAATTGTTGCAATTGTCGTTTGAAAAAGCCGTTTCTTGCCATACGAAACGTTCTACTATACACAATTCATCGTGCATTTGTACATTTGTACATTTGTACAGATAACATGTTATGCTTGACCGTTATGCCTTTCGTTGTAATAATCCATATATGGTGAATCATCCTACCGGGGTATTATATTGTACAACGAAAAGATAAGAATAAGGAACGAAATATTTCAACTCTTAAATATAGTGGAGCGCACTTTATGAATGATAAACTCTTTTTGTCAATACGACAGTAACGCAAAAATAGAGCGAGTAGGATGGGGGGCGGAACAATCGGCAAAAACGGTAGGGGGAGGTGATTCCGAAGAGCGATGATAAGGAATTAGTTTGGGGGTGGTAGTATATACTAGGGGAGTAGTGTATACGTGTGTATACGTGTGTATACATGTGTATATTAGGGGAGTAGTGTATACGTATGTACAGTATACTAGGGGAGAGAAGAGAAACAGTTTTTCAAAATAGACCGAATATGCCCGCGTTATGTATAGCGGCTAAAGAGGTCTCTAACTTGAATTTGCGTATTGAAGGGAATGGCGCAACTCCAAATGTTAGCTTTGTAATTAGTATAAAGCAAGCTTGACAAAAGTGACAGCGGGTGAGAGTATTCGGGACAAACAGTGAATAACCGAAACGGTAGCGATAATAGTAAATAATCTCAATAATGAATGGAATAAACAAGCACTATTTATTGTTCCTATTGTTGTTATTGTCTTTGTTGCTAACCGTAATCTGCTTTTCTCGTTCCGCATACTTATTAGGTATGCATGAAGCCAATGAGTAATACTTACTACACTGGGGAGATAGTGGAGAAATGGTGTGAATAAGAGGAGAAGGAGGAGGAGGAGGAGGAGGAGGAGGAGAAAGAGGAGAAGGACGGAATGTGCTTGTCTATTCTATTCCACCACCTGTGCATGGGTTGTTCATTGTTGTTAGTTAGCTACTCGTATTTCCACCGATAGATAAAAAAACCTGTTTGCCAATAATGACTTCTTGGCTTATCTGCAAAGCATGACCATATTGGTTATCTGATAATGGTACAACGGAGACCACCTGATAAGAAAATCATCAGCGGATTAAGCGATAAGAAGGATGAAAAAAGTCGTCCCATGTACACAAGGTTAGCGTCGAATCCGAGTGTTTATGGTTTAAAGTTTGATTTTCATATGCTGCAATTGATTTGTAAGATAAATAGTATATAGTGGCGACTTATAATAATGGCAAATTAAGGCAAAGAAAATTCGAACCCAAACGAGTCAAGGAGTAAAATAGCAAGCCAATCAAACAACATTATTAGAATAACATGTATAATGTACTGTACATTTTACATATTTGCAATAACTGCTGCCATCTTTGCAGCGTCAAATGGAATATCGTTAAATATGTTTATTTACCAACCTTCTTCAAAATTATATGCTTCTTCTTTTGCACTAGTGCCAAAACAACGTTCGTTCCTGTCAAAGAATAGAGGCCGAGAAAAAAATGCATGCATCTCTGCAAGGTGTAAACAGCACACTAACTGAAATCGTAGAAATAATACTGTATGCAATACATACAACACATGAAATTGTCATGGGTTTACTAATAAATAATCTCGATGGCGATGAGAGATGTGATGGCGAGATGTTCCATTAGGAATCTCGATAGTGATGGGCGAAATGTTGCATTAGGATCGATCTCGACAGTGACGTAAAGGTGAAAGGTGAAGGGTGTTTGAACTAATAACTGATTGAGTGAGTAACTGAGTAACTGACTGACTGACTGAGTGACTAACTGTAACCATCACATCACATCATATCGCATGCTTTTGGCTTTGAGCTTTTTGGTTTGCTCGATTTTCATTCTTTATTGTTATTTTTATTTTCGCCCTATTCCTTATATTTTTTTTTCCTGTTTCTTCCCATGTAAGTTCGGCTACCGAACAAACAATGAATGCAATCGCCATGAAACAGGAAATATACCCATGGACTATAATGTTTTCTATGTAATATATAGTAATATACATAAGCACAATGTTAAAAGTAGTTTTGCGGTACCGTTCTTATTACCGCCCATCACGATCACGATTGCCATTATAATCATGGTTATTTATTTATTGTTACTCATTTATTTACCGTTAATACCTTGCTTGCTTGCTGCTGTGGCTGCTGCTGCTGCTGCAAGTCGGTTCCCATTCGATAAATATGTTGACTTATTTGTCGTGACCTGGGTTCCTGCTGGCTGCTGATTATTGATGTGTACTAATTATGGTTTGATTAAGTTCCGTTTTTGTATGCATCTTTTTCGCGTTAGAACGAAACATAACAACAGTCGATTAGATCAAAGCCATGGCGCTTGAAACCTTCGTAGAACCTGGCATCGAAGGTTGTTGTTGGGAGGGGGGGCGTGAAGGCTGTCACTATTGTTGTTTGCTTGGCGCACGATGATGGTGGTGGCGGCTACAACGACAACGACAACGACGACAGACAACGATTATGATGATGACAACGCATGGAAGAGTAGTAGAGCAGATTCAAGAATAAAGTAAGCATCTTTTTTTATGATATGCCCATGCTTATTACAAATATGCATGGCATGGTCCGTTCTCCATCACACTCAGCTGATGTTTACGATAGTTACATAAGGAGGCGTAGTAAATGTTTCTAAAATAATAATAATCTGGTACTTGTATGACAAGAAAAAGCAGGCTTTTCATACCATTATAATTGTATGTCGATGTATTTATTATACACGTACACTACATACTGCATACCATATATACTATGATATATACTATGCTACATATTATATTATATAAACATAACATAACATAACATAACATAACCTTACACTAGTTTTTTTCTGGAACGTTTTATTTGACTAACCAATTACGTACCTCGACACATTCACGATCAATTACAACTTAAACGTGTGATCGAGGAGACCCCTACATTGAACTATAAGGGGGAGGGCGCAAAAAAAAAAAAGCCCATAGTATCCCATGTATTACCTATGTATTATCCGTATGAAAGAATCATTCACCAGTCGAAAATCACCATCACCAGTCGACCATTGCTAGTCGAAAATCACCATCACCAGTCATTACCATCACCACCGTCATCATCATCATCATCATCACCACCATCACCACCACCATCACCACCACCATCATCACCATCGCCATCGTCGTCGTCATTCATGCTCGCTGTGTTGTTATTATTGTCATATTGCGTGTGTGTTTATTTTAATATGTCCATTTAAGTTTGTAAATTCCGCTCAACAAAAACTTTTTTTTTCTCCAGACATTTCCCGTCATTTCTTGGACGCACAATCTGTCTGCCCTTTAAATATTAAAAACAACTTTTAATGGTTGCAGTTAGTAATTAGAAGTTACATCATTTGCGCAAATCTATGACGTAGGTTGTAATACAGTACCTACTAAGCCCATATGATAGACCTAAATGTTCGGATGCATTTCCGTTAGTTATTATTTATACGTACAATACTGCGCGATGTCTTGTACCTTAAATCTCTTGGCTAGCCGTCTCCAATATAATGGGTCCACGTTCCTATCTTTTCCCAATCTTTTCCCCGTTTCGAATCGAAATTCCCGGGTTTTATCAATCGAAATATGCAATGATGATGAAAGTAACATGCTCCCCCGACATATTCAGACATTTACAGCAGTTGGACTGTGCACCTCAGCATCGGCTGTGCCCATCAAATGTGTCAACGGTCCTGAACCGTTAATACTAAGCAACAGGCTGTTCTTACGTAATACATTAAACACACATTAGCCGGAGTCTACCGTTTATGCCGAATAAATAACAAGTTGAGGAAAAAATACAGTAAGTCTTTACATCTTTCTCATGAGATTTATTATATACAAATAAAAATAAACAATAAGTTCCGAGCAAAGGGTTGTTTATGTCGACTAGAATGGCAACTTTGGGTGTGATTCAAGGTGTTTGTTAAACGATCGTTAAACGATCGCTTAAACTGTAATCATTCGCTGGGAAGGAAAAAAAAAAAGTTAAAGAGAAGGGTGGGTAACTACTATGGGTAACGGTCAAAGAAAATACACACATGTTGCAATAACAATAGTGTAATAAAAATTAATAATAGTAGTAAATAATAATAGTAATCGTAATAATAGTAGTAGTAAAACACTCAATGGCAAAAATAGAGTTGACTGTATTAATATCTAAATATTTATACCCTTTTAAATGATTTTAAGTGTACTGATGACACAGATTGGCGTCAGTAATTATGCCTGTTTGAGCCGAAATCACAGGAGTATACAGCTACTAATACACCATAATAGTGAGTGACTTGTCAAGTGTAAAAATAAAAAAAAAAAAAAGTTATGCTGTGCTGTACTGTAAAGTGTATAATAAAGTAAGTAAACGTAAGCATATTTTCATATCCTTGATTGTGTGTGGCCCAATGGATAACAATTGTGGCTTATTGAAGGTCCCGAGTAAACTCGGTGCACATGATTCTTTCGTTTGCGTCACCAAGCCTGAAACGAAATGTTGGTGGGCCCCAATCGTGAAACTCGTATTATTACTATCGATAAAGTGCATACCCAGTAACTGCAGACACATCCCGGCCTATCCGTCTATATATTTATAATAGCCCTTTATTGTAAACTCACTATCACCTGTTATTATATTATACCGCCTCATGTTCTTCTTAGATTCTTCTTGGATCGATTGGCCGATATGCAGGTAGCACAATATCTCGTCTCTCTAATCAAACCACAAAGGTCATCAAAACCTCGTAACCATATGGGGTATATTCGCAGTCTGGACAGTCAGTGGTTGTATGTATACTAATACTAATACCACTGATTGATAATAACCTTTTTATTCGAAATTTTCAATAGATATGACACTATGTCAGTGTCATACATAAAACTGTAATGTTATGGAATTATGGTGTCATGTTGAGTAGATATAATTGGATCCAATTGCAAAGGGTGGGGGTCACTCCACTCGAGGGGGTAGAGAACGATGTAGAGAACGGGAAAAGATGTAGAGAATGATGTAGAGAATGATGTAGAGAACGATGCGGCCTTTGTAAAATAGCCAAACTTAAAGTGACTGATATTTGGTATCAATTGGTCTTTTGAATTGTCACAACACTATATAAGTTTCCCGGAATGGTATACTGGCTGCAAAGTCACTTGCAGATTATGAATTTTCGAACACTCATTCGACACACGGCATGTTAGTACAACTATCTATCATGCTTCTTATCTATTGCAAATATGTACAAGTCTGGAACTGTCAAGTACACCCATATCTTTTTGCAATTGGGAAACTGTAAGGAAAAAAACGGAATGTATTTGGAAAAGCATGGAGCGAGTCGAACGTTGTCCACAAAGCTAATTCATCAATACAAACGTTCGATACATGGAATTAAGTACGTATGGCCATGGATAGATAATCGACTTTCGACTTTCGACTTTCCTACCCTACAAACTTAATTCCAATCGATACTTTTCCTCCTCCCCCCCCCCCCCCCCCCATAGCCTTTTTGCTTGGCTTTTTTCGTGGAAATATTGCAGTCTCTCATTGGTTACAAGTCCAAATGTTTGTTGATTCCAATCTGTTTTCGGATGATTCAGAATAGAGCTTAGCGTGAGCGCTGCGCTGGTGTGCGAATGGTAAACTCACATGAGCGAGTCCAGTTAATAATGACGAGAACAAAGGGCATGGAGAAAGTCTGGCGTGAATGACAGTTTCTCGAGTGACGGTTGTGAATTACGTTTGGGTTTTTTTGCAAAACATGCTAGTAAACGAGGGATAGGCAATGTATGGGCATATGGCCCATCGGAGACATCGGAGACGGAATATCGCCACTTGTTAGACGGGGGGCCAAAGTGGTTAAATGTCACGTATCCCCATCGAGATTCCAGCATCCCCACCCCATCCCCCCATCCAATCCCCCATCCCCCATCCCCCACTCAATAACAGGAAAAAACTTTAATCACTATGCCGTCTAACAAATAAATATACAGTAGCTTAAATAATGGTCATACGCTGTAAAATGCAATGCCCACAATTAGTTAAAGTAGCGCTTGTTATAACAAAGTAGTTCAATGCTTATCGCCTATAAATAAATAATCCATAGTATAAATTAAAATAATTGAACAAGATAATAAATAAACTATTTTAGATGCATAATTAAAATAAACTATATTCTATTGAATGTACTATATTATATTATATACATAAAGAATAACATAAATAACACTGTGTAATGTAATTGGACGGATGCGATCAGCGAGCGCAAAACTAAATCACCATAAATATGAAGTGTGCCTTTTGTGTGTTGTGTTATTCCACGACGAAAAATCCAAAAGTGACTCTTCGCTGTCTTTGAGAGCATGCCCCTTTGCATTATCTTACGAAGACGAACTCAAGTCTAATACCTGCGTCCGTGAATGTAAAAGACTACTATAACAAACGTTACGACTACAACACAACAACACCTCTTGTATACTTTTTCTATTACGCGGTTTATCGCCTGCCCTACCTTTAAGCTCTCTCTCTACCAACCCCCCCGACCTACTCTTTTTTATCTGCCAACCCATAGTAGATACGCATAATTAAACGCATTGTATACTCTATCTAATAGCATACGTATACTCGTGCTCCTATCCACTGCTTATCATTACGTTACTCTTTTGCCAACATAATTTTTATAGGGCACTATATCGCTCATAATCCTTTTATATCTGTAATACGCATATTATGGTCAGAGTCTCCGACTCTCTTCATCAATCTGATTACTTTCCTACATATTCGCTCGACTCGTTTACAACAATGGAATTGGCTTCACCCCACAAGACATACGTCGAATCTCCCGTGGCTGGCAATCAAAACAAGAGGAGAAAATCAGTCGATTCTGCTCTAGTAGACTGTACCCTGCACCAGCACCAACATCAACATCAGCATCAACATCAGCACCAACATCAACATCAGCACCAACAACAGCACCAACATCTTCATCAACATCAACAGCTTCAACATCACAAAATCGCAGTCTGTCAGCCTGGTGCCTCGCTAACCGGCGGTTGGCCGTCTCAAAATAACGCTTCTCTCGTGAGCAACATTTCTCCACTCGGCATGGATAGTTGGACATTATCACTTCAGAACGGCCTATATAATATGCAACCTCAGTATACGACTCATTACAACATCGCCTCTCTCCAACAGAATCAAATGCCCACTCCACTTACCAGTCCAACCGATACAGATCTGATGTACAGCGATGTCGGATTGGTCGACAGTCAGCAACAATCCGAGAGCAATTATGAAGGTTTCGACTGTGGTCAGCAAACTGGCTTGTTGGCCGAGTTTGTTACTGTCGCCCTACATGAACGACAGCAGCAACAACAACAGCAGCAGCAACAGCAACAACAACAGCAACAGCAGCAGCAGCAGCAAGAACAACAAGAGCATCTGGCGAGGCGTAGCAGTCTGCAGCATATAACGGAATCACCCGACAACCAAGAGCGTTTGCAGAAACAACCTGCTCATCCCATCAGTTCACCGGGCGATTCGTCTGCTCGCAACAATAGAAAGCCGCAACCACTTTCGCTCGAAATTGCATCCGATGACTATAATCAGATGGCCGCCGATTATGCATATGCCGAATCATCCGCAAGCACTCCATCTCCCGTTACTCCCGTCTTTGTCAACTCCAACGTCTACGGCACTAATAACTACCCATTTAATGATATAAGCAGGAGCATCCATTCTTCTCATGATTTAAACGTGTCCACATTGTGTGATCAAGGATGTGACAGTGCCTCTACCACTCCGCAATTACTAGGATACAGTCCGGGCGAAAAACTAGAAGAGACTCAGACGATTCCCCCTGCAGCGGTTGAATTGGCGCAGAGCTACAGTTCACCACAGTCGTTTACCGAACTGCTCGCGAATACGCCAGGTGCCATCGAAGTCGAACTATCCGCTGATTACTTTAATAGCAAAACGTATAGATCGGATTTAGGCCAATGTCAGATGCAGATATCAGGCAGGCGGCAAAGTACCCAACTAACAACCACTCCTTTATTAAAGTCGGATGTTGCGTCGCCAGTGCTTTCATCTGCAGATTCTCCTGCTGATAGTAATTCGGCTGCAACCCCCAAGTCGCCAAAATCTCCCACTTCTCCACAACGTTCTAATTCTGCATATATTCGTCGTACTTCGCTGGCAAGTGCCATCCTCGAGGAGGAGGATGATTTATTGAACACTTCCACTATTGCTCCATCAGCCTTTTTGTCATCACATATACTACCCGAGATTAGCACACGTGTCAATGCTAGATTAAGTCAGAATACGACGGTGGCCATTATGGGGTTTGTATTCAACTCTTTGCCCGACAGCTGATTGTTTGATTTGCGAGTGACATTGGCACGTGTATAACCGTATTTTATTATATTTTATATAGACCAATTATTCACGCGTATTTGAGCGCTCCTAACCCGTCCAGCCTAGGAGAAAAGACTGTTATGGTGATGACCTCTAAAGTTGCGCAAAAATCGTATGGAACCGAAAAGAGATTCTTATGCCCGCCACCCACAACTATCATTCTGGGCTCCAGTTGGTGGTCTCAGTCACCGCCCAACACTGATAGTCATACTACTCAGACATCGTCTCTCAGTCCACCAAGGATTACCGTCGGCATATCCAGCGAACAAAGTCACCACGCCGGCATATTCGAGTGGATTAGTCCATCTGGCACTTCGCTAGATCCAACATCATGCTCAGAGATGGCCATTAGTGGAAAATGTGTGTCAAAGCACTTGTATATCAATGACACGGACGAAAAGAGAAAGCGGGTGGAAGTCAATGTCAAAATTCAAAATCCATGTGGGCAAAGCTTTGGTTGCTTTGCTAGCAAGCCTATTAAAGTAATCAGCAAGCCCAGTAAGAAGAGGCAGAGCGTCAAAAATATGGAGTGTAAGTTGAAAGATAACGACTATCCATTATTATAAGTTTTCATGAATAAACAGATGCTAATTTCTTTCTTGTCCATCTAGTATGCATACATCACGGAACTACAATCTCCCTGTTCAATAGAATCCGATCACAAACGGTCTCTACAAAATATCTCGGCGTTTCGGGAAACTGTCATGGGCAGAGTTTTGCGCCCTGGAGTAATGGTGCGTTTGCATCTGTAAGCCCAGTCGAACAAGGCAGAACATTTGTTGCGCGGACTGGTAGTTGGGATCCATTTATTATCTGGATAGTCGATACCAATTACGTCAAGGGCAAAGATGAGCCTCAAGTACCTCCTCATCCAAGTTTCCCTCGGCCTCCGCTCAATGCTCTCAAGTACAATCCAAACAATCCCATTCCGATACATTATAATCAGCCAGTTGTATTGCAGTGCTTGTCAACCGGTATTACTAGTCCAGTAATGATTATTAGAAAGGTAGACAAGGGGAGTATGGTAATCGGCGGTGCGGTGCTTGAAGACAATAATGGATATGTGAGCGAAGGTAAATAGAATATTTCTATATACACGTGTCTTGTGAACAATTCATATCGCGTTATACTGATATCACGTTATTTGCCTGGTTCAATAGCACTTGGTGATCCGGTCTCTCAACTTCACAAGGTCGCTTTCCAGATTAAAGACCAGGAAACTATGATGTCTTCCAATATTCAAAACTGCACAAATCCAAATTTCCCGTCGGGTCCAGGAGTTTATCTTGCTTGCCTCAGTGATGTGGTCGGTCAGCAACGTGCAAACGACGGCCGTAAACTCATTTCTACTGCGGCAATTTCAGCCACTAATAGCACTTCATTCATCGACGTGATACCCCCGAGTACAAACATGACAACTTCCATAGCAGCATGGGCAGCGGCACAGACATCCTTTGCATCCAATGCAGCTCCGTTCAGCGAAAGTACTATTTTATCTTCTGATGGCACGAGGACCACTACTTCTCGCAAGAGACGTTCCTCGGCTACTGTCAAACCCACTAGCGCCATGGCCAAGGTTTCCATGAAAAGACGAAGGGTCAATAGCATGAGTGCAGTAGGAAACGAGCCTGAATTTGCGCGCATTGCAGAAGCCACGAGGGGACTTGGTTCTCGGTCAAATAATGATGCCAACGCTGGAGCGATATGGACCGAGGATGTTACTGATTCGGCTGTATGGACTATCGTGGGGACTGGTTAGTATAGTAATACAGTTATAGTTGAGAAAAATTCATACATTTTGTCTACCAGCCTCGATATTAACATATATTTTTTTTCTCCAACAGATTGCGCAACATATACCTTCTATTGTCCACAAACGATAGTCAACGCTACATCACAGCTCAGTCCAACCCAACAATTCCCTGTTCCGCCATCGACAACACCAGTCACTCCTGTGCCTAGCGTCACTAACATAGTGTCCGCTGCTTCTTCAAACACATTACCCGCAAACACTCAACTCGCTAGATCAACTATACCAAACACAATCACAATCTTTGGTGAGAACTACACCCGCGATTTAATGGTCTGGTTTGGTGATATACCAAGTCCAAGGACAGAATATCGATCTCGGGAATGCATCCTGGCTTGGATACCAGATGAATTGCTATATAGTGGAACAAGTAATGGAATCATTAAGAGCGATCGTATGGTTAATGGGCGTCTAAGTTGTCAGCTTAATAGTCACTCGAGGCCAATCCTGTTGAGTCGTGGAGACGGTGTCATATTCAAGACTGGGAAATCTTGGATCTGATTTACTCATTCTGAAAAAAAAAAAACATAGACTTTTTTCATATGTATGAGCCTATCTCTCAACCTTAATTTACTTTTTTATTATTCTATCTTCAAATGATTAGAGTAATTTTTATATTTTTTTGCAAAGGAAAAGAACATTTTATTGTCTTCTCTTTTTTTTTTTCTTCTTTTTTCTTTTTGTCTTTAACTGAAAATTTTGATTTTCTATTATGAAGAAAACAACTAAACTACAATACTCGATATATATACAAAACCAAAAAATACCCAAGAAAAATTTTAGGAAACAAAATAACAAGCATACTATTCTTGCGACAGTTCTTGTAAGTAATCAATCAATTTCTCCATATTCCGTTTCTGTAACTATTTTCTTTCTACGTTTTTCTCTGTTCTGTCGCCAAGGTATATATATATTATTATATTATAATTATATATATATATATCTATGTATCTACGAATTACTTTATCCTTTGCGTAACCATCGTACACCTTCTCCTACTGTATATAAATTCTCCTTAGTAAATCGTCTCTTACCGATTGTAAAAAGTTGAATCACTTTACCTCGTAAATAAAGGATCTTGTTATCACACGATTATTTTTAAAAATCTCTCGTCAGGTGACACTATATTTTCTATATTTTGTATCCGATTATTGTTGTGGTACACGTGTACCCTCAAACATTGAAGCAGTCAAACATTGGAAGCGGTCAAATATCGAAATAAACCGACACTCCCTCCTTAGCATTCGACCAGTTGTTATGCCCGAGTTACTTCCGCCCGAGCCTTCTTCCGTCTCTGACATGTCGACTACCTCCACTCTTGCAGCTTCTGCAAACAATTCCAATAAGCTCTCGAGTCTCCCCCCCGCAATAACGAACTCGTATACCGTATATGTGGGGGAACAGATGTTCAGATTATATCGTTCTTCGATTATCTTTGACTCTCCCAACTTTTTCACTCAGAGTTTTCTCGGAGACGAGGTCGATGACCTTAACAAAAAATGTAATAACGGATCTGACGACAACGAAGAAGACAGAGACGGTGTAGTCGGTCGAGCATATAGTACCGAAACCCCAACGACGAACGTTATGGATAATATCGACGTCAGTACTCAAACTACTCCGGATACATTGATAAATATTCCGGCCGTCAGAGAATTGAAAATAGACAGGGATCCTCGATTATTCGAAGTGATTTTGAGATATTTACGAGGATACAACATATTTCCCCTGTCTTCTGTAAACCTCCCACCTGGTATGTCGCTAGACTTGTTCCGTGAAAGCTTGCTCGAAGACGCTCGTTTCTATGGGCTAGATAGACTGGCAAGACTACTTCAAGCCGAGACTCCAACCCCTTTACGGTATAAAGATCCGTTCACCTCACAAGACAAGATTCTCCTTTCACTTCGAGATGTCCCGATACACAAGGAATTTATTAAATCGAAACTGGCTAGTCCGTCGGCAGTCGAGTTCTTTACCGGAGCGGTTCTTACGATTGATATAGAAAGCACGGAATCCACTATACGATTTCATACAGAGATACTAAATGAACAAGACAAGAAAGCACTTGATACCCTAGGAGACATCTATGGTGATGATACCAAGATCAAGTTATCACGTTCGTTAAATACAGGGTGGAATATGCGTAATATTCTCAACGGGATACGATTGGAAATCGACGGAGTTCAGGTTACGGGAATCGACGTTGCTTCTCTTCTTGGGTCATTTGGTCCTCGCAACAAAACTTTGGAAGACATGTTTCGTCTAGCTGGCGGTGAAAAGTTGGTCATATATGCCCAGGAATTTGTATTTAGACTGGAGAAGGGTAGAAATACGGCCTCGAGCATAGCGGATAGCGATGCCGGGAAAGGAATTAGCGAAAGTGTCTCTGTTCACAGTACTGGCAATGACGGAGCGGATCAAGCTAGTCACAACGATGAGAGTAACGAAACAATAGATGAAAATACTGTGGTGGGAAATTCATCTTCGGTTGTGGATGGGATCGAAGATCAAGTGTTTTTAGGCGTGGTTTGGGCCAAGGGATGGACACAAGAATGGTGGGCATGGAACGAATATAGAATGAAACTGGACACTCTCCAATAGACATGAACCGATCGAGAAGGGGAAAAGTGGAGGGCGGGTGATATTCTTTGATCTTTGGATGCTTGGTATGCATTAGCATCAAAAATAATACTATTATTTTCTAGTCGTAATATCTTATTTCGAATATATAGTTGATTACATTATTTTATTATCAAATGAGCGCAGCAGTGCTCTTACCATTATTTATCTCATCGATATCTCATACAACATAACAAGCCTCTTACCCCTCAAAAATTAGCAAATACTAATGTGGTGGCCGCGAAAGAAATAAATTGCTGGGCCACTCGAAAAAGAAACCATAAATTATCGATCTTATACATCACAACTGTTACAAAACCAGAAGGAGAAGGGGGAGGTGTGTCATCCAGTGTAGGGGATGTGGGGAGAGGGATGTTCCATTATTGTTCAAAGTTTCAAAGCCCCAAGTCTGTGCATCTGTAAACCAGCGAGATGATACTCGGAATTGTAGATATGACTATAGATAATTATTGTACGTTGAATAGCGTCTTTTTCGGGTCAGCACTCGAACATTTGCTGAAGCCAAGGTTGAGATGTACTGGTATTCGCATTTCAACTTCTATACTCATAAAAATGGGGTTTTGTTCTTTACTTATTACTATGGTTCTAGATGCAGGCTTATTACGGATCATCCATTTCATGTCAGTGAAGTCCTAATGCAACTTAGTTTGCCTACCAAAAAAGGCCGTTTCATCCGAATAATTATTCAAATGCGGAACAATCTGTGATTATTCAGTTTAACGGTTCTTGTGTATTTATCTCGCGAATCATTGTGAAGCAATGTTATACAATTCAAAGCGGAGTACATAAAACGCTAGATATTAAATCAACATTATTGGTAAACATGGTAACAAAATATAATTTTTAAAGTAACCTTAAATTTAACGCTAACTTTAATTACAATTATAACCTAATTTTGGACCTATTGAAAATCAACAAGGAGTCTGTTAAGGGTAAAAAGTCAACTCATTAATTAGGTTGATCGAATTCTTAAAGTGAGGAATGATGACAGGGAGATCTTAGGTTGATCATAGAAAAGAAAAGAAAAGAATTGGTCATCCAAGTGTATATTAAGAAACTATTTTCCAATTATATTATAATTAGAGCTCAATAAGGACAACTATAAAACCAAGGTATTTTCACAAAAAGACTACATGGTACAAACACGGTTCGTTATGCTAATTGAAGGAGACATTTCTCTACAAAGTTTGCAGAAGCTTTCGCGCTTTGCTTGGGTGTTCGTAACCAAGAACAGCTCATTTGACTATCGCATGCTTCCTTTCACATATCAATAACTTGGTTGTACATGTATGTATGTAACCTAAAGAACTACCTGTACCTGCTGTTTCAGATTATTATTATTATACGATAAACCCCTAAATTTTTGGGTAGAAAGCGAGGATTGCGAAAATTAATAGCTTAGCAAACCCAAAGAACAGGGACAGTTATCGTTAATTCAAAAATTAGTACCAATTCCAAAATGAAGAACTAACCGAGTAGCTAAATCAGCAGTGTTAATTCTTGCGTTCTGCATACTAAATTATAAGGAGCTTATGCATCTCCACGTGACTCGTTCGTTAAGGCAGCCTTGAATATGAACAGCCAACGTTGTATGCTTTATGCTCGGAATTGTTTCACTTATTTTATACTTACTGCCGAACTCTCTCTCAATTTCACTCTCACATATGCACAAGGACTTCTATAGAGTGCATCCATGTCATCATTGCATGTTTACCTGGTAAGTAGTATGTATGACATTATTATTGATTGATTTTTGGTCATCACTTGGGACATTGACTAACTTCCTCTGATTTATGCTACTTTGTTCTCATACTCACTACATCTTTTTTCTTCATTGCTGTTATTTTATATCTTATTATATGATTATAATGGTCTTTTTTTATTTTTTATTTTTTATTTTTTAATATAATTTCGCAGCTTCCAGTGAGTGATGTTACCAATGCTGCATTGCCTCTCTTATATTCCATCTGTTCATGCTCAATTTATTTATTTATTTATTTTCACAGCTACCCCTAGCAAAATGAAAGTCTGTGATGCTTTTCCTAATGGTGGAAGTAAACTCTGAAGCTAGAGATCTTTTTCTTATCCTGATTTATTAATTTAAATTACCAGGATTGCAATACAAAAGTCCATGCTTTATACCAATACTGTTGGAATATCAACCACATCCAGAGGTGTATCAAATATTGTGAGACAAGCTTATATAATAATAACAGTATAATTATCACTAACAATCCCATTATTTCTATTGCTCTCTGGAGCTGGTAGAAAATCCCTGAATTCCCCAGATGGCATATTTTAATTTATGCTTACTATTACCAGAACAGCCCCAGGAGTTGAGAAACAAGATCAAAAATGCCGGAGTGTTCCATTTTAGGTTTCCCTTGGAGAAACCCAATAGAGAAGGATGCTTTGAGAATGGTAGTGGCCTAGAGGATAACATTGAAATCAGTGCATTTGAGGCATTGGAAACCAGATGCTTTCAACTTCTTCCAGAGAACATGAAGCTAGCCCACATCATTCAAAACTATTACTATGAGCATAGAGCAACCACATCCATGAGAAATCATGGGATTGGTCACTAAGTATGAGAAATCTTTTTGGAAGTAATGGATCGAGAGTTTGGCAAAAGAACTTGAAGGATGCTGACAGTCATCTTAGTTGTTGATGGATTACAGACTATCATGAAAACACCTCCAGATGAGAACTCTGAGTTTTATAAAACTTTGACAAATATTGCAGTCTTCTTAGACATTAATACTATGGAAACTTGCAAAAACCCATGCACAATCAATTTTCGTATCCTGTCCTTATTAATGACTTTATTGAATCTTTATTTGGAGACTGGCTAATTGGTTTATGATATTCAAATCATCTTTACCCATACATGGACGCCTTTTTGTGTGTTACACAAATGGTGACGCTAAATAAATTATGTGATGTCCTATTTTATTACTTTTTAGGACACCAAAATTTGTTATTGTAGCCCTAATACAACTGACTGCCTACACACACTCTTTTCGCTTGAGGAGTCACAGATGTGGTGACATACGGTGAATGATGTATATTCCTGCGCAGCTCTGAAAATTTAGGATAGGCATTGTCAGACAACGATGAAATTGGTAAATGTGGCAGTGCCAACGCCAGACAAAAGAGTGATGACGCCGCAATAATAATAGCAGTCGCGCAATAGTTTAGCTTTCAAATTACTTTGGTAAAAGTTGGTAATTGTACACGTGGACGAAGATGGTAGAAGTTGGCAGTTCAGAAAGTACTTATTTTTTCCGTTATGATCGTTGTGTCTCTTTTATTTCATATTATTAATAAACGAGTAGTTCCCTTATACTCTGCGCGTATACGATTATTATTTCATTCTCTAGTATAGCTGAGAAACCATTAATCCCTATATCGTTTAGG